TCCTAATAGGCCTGCTTTTATATGAATTGTTTCAGGTTTGGATCAAGTGTAAAGATAAAGTTAAAACCCAAGTCTCTATCTTTTTTTTTTTTTCAACTGTTTATTTGATTAAAAAAATATGAACCCGTTGGAGCTAAAAAGTTAAATGCAAAGAAAAGCAAAGAAAGGAAAAGAATTTGGAAATGGATTCAAATCATGCCACTATTATCATTACCATTATAGAGATCTGTGTTTTTAATCTAAAGGGGTCTTGATTGAGCGATTGTCATGAATATGGACTTGGTGAAAACAAAAACGTACAGTTTGTGAAAGCTTAACTTGTGTTTGGAATTTATTGTTTTGATTTGCCTCATAACATTGAATCCCTTTTGGAACACGTCGTGAATGTGTTTGGAGGAATGGGGTTTCCAAAATTTCCGCAGCCTCCTTTGACTTGATCCCACAAACCCAATTGCGCCGTGTCAACGAAGCATTAGTAGTTTGATTAAGCATTTGTTAATTAAGGATGGTAGTGATAATTGATGTTTGATAATCAAGCTAGCCACTCTCTTTCGACTACATGTTTGGTTGTTTCAGTTACAACTGTTCAAGAATTTGAGGGTGTGGTAGGGACCATATAATATAATGAGATGTGCTTAATTTCTTCAATATAAACATTTTAAACTCATTTGGATTGTCGCCACTGCCTTGCCTTTCTTTATTTTTGTCATTTTCACTTACAAAGGATGATGAGCTTAGGTAATGATGACAAATACCCCCTCCCAAAGAAACACAAACAAGTGAAAGAAGTCTGACCTAGTTTGATTTATTCTTTTCTTTTAAAAAACCCCATCATTGTTAGGTTTCTTCTTCCAAGTGATAATTTTTTTATTTTTACACATAAATCTTGAGTATTGACTACTTTAATTAGTAAGAACCTAAAGGGACTTTAATACCGATTTAGAAGTTCGCAATTCTTCTAAATAAAAGAACCAAGATTAAGACAAGGCCAATTAATTAGCTAATTCGTGGTTATCACTCTGAACAACTAGAAAGAACTCTGTCCAAATTAATACCCAATTTTTCAATATCCAAATCCTTTTGATTATTGCTTCCTAGCCTCCATGGTTTAGGCGTTTCAAATGAATTGGCAAAGAGGCAATATACAATCCATTATCTAGTCTAAACGATCGTTGAACGATTTTGATATGCTGTTAGACAAATGTACAAAATATATCATAAATAAGTTAAACACCTTGTACAAGTGAAAAGAACCGCCATAAATATAGACTAGGTAGCACAAAGTTCACTAACCATTTATTCACATTCTTCCTTCTTGTACTCTCTTTCCTCTACAAAAACGCGTAATTATATTTCCTACTATTTTTCTGGCTATAATTGTTCTGTTATATTTTATTATATAAGTATATATATATATATATATATATCATTAGTATGTAGAAAATTAAATTAGAAGGGAATGACTAAATTCGGTCCAATACGGATTTAAACTCATTTTATATGGTTTTTGAAATTTTGAACTGAACCAAATCAACTCTCATTCAAACAGTTCATTTTGTTTTATTTATTTAAAAAGTTATTAAAAAGATATTTTTGTATTCATGAATAAAAACACGATCGCTAAGAATGATAGATAAAGAAAATGATAAATTTACGTGCCCTAAGAAAAGAAAATGATAAATCTAAACCCTTTCGAAAAGTTATGTTGATTTTATTACTTCAAGATATGCAATAGCTTTTAAGAGGAAGGGAAGTTACCTATTCCAATTGCATGTGAACACCAACATTGCCAACGTAAACGAAATTAGGTACACAAACTCTCGTATACCCTTACACATAGTTCATCCATACTGTATGTCTCCAAACATAAACAAAAAGCAGCACATATAACCACAAATCATTATTCATGATGTTTTATTTAACGCTATTCAATAATACAAGCAGGAAGAAATAGTAACAAACATATTACACAAGGACAAATCTTTGCACTTTTGTACCTGAATTTCCAAGATGAGTTTGAATTATCGAGCATACAAAGAATTTTAGATTGAGATTTGCTATATTTTTTACATATTTTTACTATTTTATTAAGTGTATTAAGGGAAAAAGTGTGTATATATTTATTATTTTAAAAACATAAAAGATATTTAATATTTTATTTATTCAAAAAATAAGAAATTTTGTAGAATAATAAGAAATTAATAATTTAGAATTATGTAATAATTATTAAAGACATTAATTAAGCGGGTGAATGCTAACAAGTTAATAATTTATTATCTATTAAAAAGACTAAGTAGATTGAAAATAATGTGAGTTACGATTAATTTAAGTCCTTGAAGATTTGACTTTTTCTAAAATAAAAAAATAAAAAATAAAATCTGAATTATAAACAAAAAAAAAAAAAAAACAAAACAAAACTAATCATTGCTGAATAAAATAACTTTAACATGCTATTATGAAAAAAACTTTATTAAAAAATAAAATCTACTTCAATCATTCATCTCAATACTTCGAAATAATTAATCATCGGTTGAAAAATATCTTTAATTTAGAAAAAAAAAATATAAATTTATCGTGATATTATTTAAACATGCTGATCTTTATTGGATTGTAGCCTTGTAACTTGTCCATGCTAATTCCACATAGTAATTCTTAGACTACTATGTTGTGTCATGAGATGATATTTTGAATCAGCAAATTTTATAACAGTGTGCCAAAGCCAAACCATGTGGCCCCTGACACTTGACAGGCGAAGATGACTAGTGATTTTTTGTGTTCTATATTTTCATGCTTTTTCCACAGGTGAAAGCTTTTGTGGAACTATTTTGACCATTTCCAGTGGCACAGGAACCTCATCAATCCCTAACAGTGGCAGTTCAAAATTATAGAGAACCCATGATTCGTATGACCAAGGAGCCATGATTCTTGGCTGTACATACACATGGCTTACTTTTTGAAAAAGAGAGAATATATAATCTAAACAATCACCCAGAAACAAAAATGATGCTCTCTACTGATTTCCAGCTCTCACCAAAGTTATCATGGATTATATTAATATCCAAGATTTTAAATTTGATAACCTGGGAAATCACCATTTCCATGTGAAGTTATTAACTTTCCTCTATCCTTGTCACCCAACACAATCATAGTTCTGTGGCCTGGATCAAACCACAAACTTGGTTGAATCTAGAATACTTCCAGATGGAAAGCAAGTAAAATGCCAAGTACTATGGTCTATAGAATAGAAAATGAATTGTTAATTTGTTTTTCCCTGATATGCCCCCCTCTACAAAAAAAATAATAATTGAAGTGAGATTTATATGATATATTTTGTTATATGTTATTAACAAGTTATATATATAATTGGACCGTTGATAGCGAGTTATTTGCACCACAAATTACCCATGTTCGAAAGTAAAGTAAAGTAAAAGTCAGATTACGTTGATTATGTGATAAGCACTTGCCACTTTGGATAGGCTTTTTTTTTATTGCCAGCTTCCTTTTTTTCTGGTGGGCTAATAATATACTCTATAATGAATGAAAATCTTAGAAGAGAGAATCATTACGATGATCAAGGGATTGAGAACATTGGGCATGATAATGGGTTTGATAAATTAGCAGAGACTCAAAAAAGTTGATGTTGAGATGAGTATAGCCATTGAAACTTGAAAGCACTATTGATAGCATGTGTGAAGGGAAAAAAATGTCCCTCAAAGTTTCATTCCCACCAAGAAAGTAGTTGTGGATCGAGAGGAATATAAGAGAATAAAGCAAGAAATAAAAGCTCTTCTACATGAAGAAACCCACATAGCCTAAAAGGCTATACCCTTACGAAAAGTTGGGAGGAGAAATACAGAGATGGAATTTCTCTGTCCCATTGGTAATTTGCCTTTGGAACCCCCCCAAACCCATCTTGGATTCTTTTGACGCAAGAACCAACAAGCCTAGTGAATTGATGAGTCTTTGATTCAAAGAAAAATAAATTATGCATAATCATGTGTTTCATTGCCCCGTTGAAACTATAATTTACATCTAAAACCACTATGCTGTGCTGCACGTGTACGTGAGTGACTCATGCAGGTAATTAGGTATACGTTGTTTCAGTGTTTTACCACTAATAAATCATATCCATAAAATCAAGGACTTGCCCTACTTTTGTCGGTTGAACAAAACATTAATTATTGAAGAGCGGGTAACAGTACATATTCTAAGTGGTTTCTTCACTTCTAAGGTGGTGAACGGAGCAAAACATCAATTGGGGCAGGAATATGTACGGCATGCTTTTGATCATCTAATTAGCTTTAAGCTATTGACCCATTATCTTCGTCCAATGAGCCAGCTCTTACCAATGTAGCCAGCTTTATCTTATTCTCTTCAAAAGTCAAAATCAGAGGAGTCAGAATTGAGAACCCTTGAGGTATTGACTGGTGGAAATTACTGGACCTCTCCCCCAAAATTTCAACCCAAAACACCAACACCACAATCACTCAATATTCACTCACACTGTGCTTCGTGCTAATACTCTGCAATCAACTAGAGGACACCCTAAACTTGAAAACCGGGATTTTACTTTAAAATCAATGTGCACTGTTGTCTATCAAGTTCCAATCACTGATGTCAAATGTCTAATATAATTTGCCGACAAAAACATGCCATAAAGAGAGTTGATAGTGCATCGTCATTTCAGACAATAACACCCTATCGCAACATCAGTGGCATGGAATGTACGCTATTCGAATTAGTGTGACAAGGATAACACAATGCAACAACAGTGACAAACAAAATACTGCAATATTAACAGGATTTTGCCAAATAAAATGAGGCAGCTGCATCGTGACACTGTATCGTAATGTAGATTCAAGCTGGGATTATGGGATAACATCAGCTAAAGCTACTAGTCTATTCATTTGCTTTAGTCATTAACGCAAATCATTTTAGCCAATGTCCATAAAATTGAATCAGAAGTTGTTGAAAACGAAATTGGAGCAGCGAGGCTTTCAAATCATAATTTGATTAATCCGATAAAAAGAGTTGTTGAACCGTAATTAAATTGGACAGTGCTCAAAATTGAAAATATAACCGGTTCAAACTTCAACAGGTTTAATTGTCCAGTTTAATTTTTAAAACATCTTTTGGCTCCATTTTGACTATCTAATTCTAATTAGAGAGCATTTTCCTAGAACAGTACAACATTCAGATATTTGTTTCTTTCAAGAAGCTAGGTGTTAATTAGAAATCTAGCTTCATAACTTCTCTACATGCTCAAGGGAAGAAAAGTGTTTGTCTACGGTGTTGAGAGTTTCTTGATCAATTTCGGTGGTACCAATCAATTTTGGTAAAGAATAATCCAATTCTTTGGCTTGTACCTCATCAGTTTCAGCAGTTTGATTCTTAAGGATTTCATTGTCTTTAAGGTCTATCAAGGCAGAGCCTTCTTCTGAATTGAAGAGTTGGACTTTCATCTCCAAGCATGACTTCAAATCCTCCTCAGTTCGGGCTTTATTAATCTTATCCATAAGATCACTTATAGCTGATAACCTTTCGACCCTCTTCCCCCTTTTTGAAGCTTTCTTAGCTTCATCATCAATTGATTCATTGATGTCACCATCTACAGCACGTTTCTGAAGCTTCTTTAATCCCTCATCTACAATTTGTTGTATTCTCATTCTCAACCCATCACTTCTCATTGTATTTGATCTTAGCTGCAATTTTAACCCAGGGATCATTACCTCACTGCTCTCTGGAGTAGGATTAGACTCCAGTGCAGAGGATACATTGTCATCCAAAGACTTTACAGATAATACTTCTTCTAATAAATCTACATTCAGCATGTATCGATCGAAAGCTTCATTTTCCACTTCAATATTCCGCTCCTTATATTCTTTTAACTTAGAAAATCTCCATTCATTTATAGCTTCAGCATCCTGTAATCATTGCAATGCTATTACTTTCACATAACATACAGGTCACCAAAACAAGTTATACACTTAACCAAGCATCCTCAATGTAGTGTCTGTACCTTTCTAGTTAGTGGCTTCTTTGAACGAAGTGAAAGATGCAAACTATTGAACTGAGCAAAACTATTGGAAAGTTGTCGAAGTGATGCAACTCTACCTGCACTTCTGAAACAGAAAACAAAATAAAATCCAGTTTAGGGGAAAATATTAAGAATTTGGAAGATGCTTTAAATGCTGATTGTATGATTGAATCAATCAAGTCACTAGAGGAACAAACTGGAAGTTCAAGAAAATTACTGCATTAAGAAAATGGTATGATGCAAAAGGGAAGATTGACACATGATCTTGAGCAATTACTGAATAGCATGCAATGTAAAATATGAGGAAGACTGTAAGTACTGCATTACAGAGTCCAGCCTGGCACTCGGAAGAGAAAATAGCAACTCTATTCAGCAGAAAATCGTGCCTCTATTATTTAAAAATAAATTAGATATACTTCCAGTAAAGCTTGACATGTTTAAAATATAAACTAACAAATGGATATGGTGCTGATGCTCTTAACTTACGTTGACTGAGGTTGTTCTAAGGATTGCTGATCAAGTGGAGCAGCACCAGAAGATGGTGTCTTATCAGGAAAAGTTGAAGTAGCTTTTAACACTGCATTCACCACAAAACATGAAAACAAAGGGGCACAAGCATAAAGATCTAATAGAATTTTAAATTATGGGAAATATTAAACAAATAGAAAGTATACAGATATTCTCAATCTTGCCAACAGATTGGCAAAACAATTACAACTTCCTTTTAAAACATCTTATCTCACTTTCTTATAAAGTAGAAGAGTGCAAGGTTATAATTCACAGCTAAAATCATGAATCACCAAGCCAATAATTTAGTTGTGAATACTAAAAATGCATTCAATCATATGATCTGCGGACAATGAAAATTAGCTTGAAATACAACAACATGTGAGATGTATGGTTAAGTTTCATCATTTTCTAGTTAGCTTGGAATATATCATAAAAAATATGTATAGTATTCAATGTGGTAATTTTAAACTAGAAAATGATGAAAAGTAACCATACGTCTCACATGTGACTATGAGTGTGTCTGTGAGTGAAGCCTCTATTCCAGAAGGCTGAAAACACAGCAATAAAACAACAAAATAGACAAGCAAATAGAGTGAAGGAAGAGTAAGTGATTGTACGAAAGCCCTATTTCAAATTAATAAATAAATATAGAATACATTGAATAGGGTGCATTGATTAGTGCTCCTTCAGTTACTCTTTATTCAACAATTTAAACTCATCTGACTTTTTAAATTCTTTGATGAGAAATGGTGAAAGAAAAAAACGAAAGAATAAAAGATCACTAAATTTTGACTCAAAGTGATGATACAGAATCTTATCGATTAATACAGCTATCGCAAGGTTCAAATTCACATGCAATTCATCACAATGCAAATCATTGGCTATCCAAATTGTACCAATTTGAATCACAGATTGTAAGTTTCTAATAACATTGGACGAGTTGTAATTTTAATGTCACTAGATAAACAGTATCTTTTCATGTACTCCCCTTAGTCTTAAACATAACACTCAATTGTATTTCATCAATGCAGGTGAGTAATTTTTAAAATATTCTAAATTGAAGTAAAAATCTTTATAAAAAGCATATTTTGAAGGAAGTGAAGTAGCAAAGTACTTCATTTAGTAAATGAAAGAAAAAACAAAAACCTGATAGGAATTGTGCCCCGTCCTCTAGATGGGGAAAGGTCTACCAGCATAGATCCAAGACCATTAGGGCTTAATGTGTGAGTGGGGAATTATTTTGCAATAGAATCAAGAGTTAGGGGCAGATGGGGAAATATGTAATAAGTTAGATATTGAGGATGAGAAGGAACATGCAAGCTAATTCTGTTATATTGGGATTTGAATTGATATTTTGGGACAGAGAAATTTCTCTCTTGCTGGGGGAGCATTGCTCTCAGAATTCCTTCATTCTTTACCCCTTTCTATTCTTTCTTCTTGGTATATTCTTGCTCTGCAGGTCCCTTTGATACTATACGTATCAAAAACCAAACCAAACAGCTTCACAACAAAAACATGGAACTATGTACAGAATGATTTGTACTTGAGTGCATAGTTATCAATGCCAAATAGTGGCCACGATTGCTGCAACAGAGAAACACTCTGCTACTGCATTGTCACAAGGTGCCATGAGAACACAACACCTTGACAGCACCATTTCTGACTGCTATTGATAACTATATTTGAGTGATAAGTGAGTATTGGATATGTAACCGCGAGTACCCAATAAGTACCTGTACTAAATGCATCATAGCTCTGAGGAATGCTTATTTCAAAATTAATAGTGCATTAATGGTTAATCATTAAAATTAAAGGGCGAATATACTCCTATTTGCTCATTTGAGAGACAAACTCACTTAGAAGAGCTACCAATAGCAGTTCTGTGTGGTGCCGAAAATTGCAGTTGTCCATTACTTTCTCAGTTGTCATACATTTTTTTGGGTTTTTATTGCAATTTTCCCCTTTTTTTCACCGTAATGGCCTCAGTTCAAAACTTTGTTTGAGGCTTGATTATGCAACACACGCTGCACACCAGCACTGTTTCCAGCCAGGTGCAGGCATAACCAATTCTCTATTTTGAACATACTTTGTTCAGCTAATTGTTCATACATCCTCTATCCTTTCTATACCTGTGTTCTGCCTTTTTTGTGTGTTCTAAGTAATTGTGTCTACCAGCTCAACCATCTGTTATAACCTTCTTTTTACGTGCTTACGAGTAACATATAAAAAAATTGTCCCTAAGTGTATGTTCCTTACGGATGACATACTCCTGCTTGAAAAATTAAAAGAAAAGGATAAATCTAAACTTGAGTTATGGAGGGCATACTTTAGACTATAAGGGTTTTCACTAGAGCAAAAGTAAAAGAGAGTAAAACCTAGACTTCATGCTGCGGGGAAGCCTTTCTTTCTAAAATTCACTATGTTGGCGTGGAGTTAGAAAGAACCAAAATAAACTAATCGGTGTAACTCATGTTAACATGGAATTTCTACGCACTAACAATTTGCTTGGAGGTGAAAAATAGAGATCATAACATACAATCATGACAGAGGGATATGCAAATAAATTTAAGGTACAAAGTAACAGAGAAAGATATTGCAGTTTAGATTAAAGATGAAACGGACCATGAATATGACAGGGATTTTGGTTTCTGGAACAGCAACTCTTGCATGATTCGTAGGGACACCTTGAACGAGCCACATTGCCGCACTGCTTGCACTTTGGTTTGTTATGGCCGCGTTGGGATTTAGGCGGAGTAGCGGCCACGCCTACGCCTAGGGTTCCTGGTTTCGCCGTCGTGTTGTTGTTCGGTGCCGCCATACACCTTTCTTCTTCGCGCTATAATTGAAATTTGATATTCGAAATGAAATTGAAATTGAAATTGAAACCCCCAACCCAACCCAGATGAACTGCACGACACGCACACCAACACAACAGCGTGTTATTTCTCTCTCTCTCTAAAATTTTATTTTTCTTAGTGTTTATGTTTTGTTTTTCTTTGCTTGCATGCTCTGCTTGAGGACTTAGGCTGTGGGCCGATGACTTATTTGGGCCCGATCCAATGACTTTTCAATAAGCCTTAATTTGAGCACTTATTGCTCTGATTACCAAACTTTTTCTTGCCATGCACGCTTGCACTGCTCTACTGTATGAATGTTTATAAAGGTAAATTCTAACGTGTGTTCCAAAATAAGATATTCTATACTCTTTTATTTATTTAGTAGAGTTAACAATTTATTTATAAAATATATAAATATTTTTAATTTTTAAAATATTAAAAAATATAAATTAAGAAAGAATATAATGCTCTTTCAATTTTAAGCGTATGGTAATAAACACTATTCGTAAATTGTTTAATTTTGATATATCATTGTCGCATATTCTTAGTTAATACTAAGTATGGCGACTGTTGAAAAATAATACTATGATGATTATTGGTAAACAAAATGAAAATATACTATTAATATAAAAATATTTATATTATTAATTAATTAGAATAAATAAAAGATATAATTTTTAGAATCATTATTATAAAAATTTAAATATTCTATTCAATGTGAAAATAGTTCAATTATTATTCAGTAAATGCAAATTATTATTTTAAAGACACTAATTATTAAAATAAAAAGTATTGAAAAAAAATATATCGTAAATGCAAGAAACATTCAATAATTATTTATTAAAGTATTATATTTTTTTTATTTTGAGAAATAATTATAGATTAATAAATATGATTAATATTCTTGTTTATGTTTAAAAAAAATCTAATATGGTATTGGATAATTTTTTTATCTCATTTATAATAAATGTGTCAAATATTTAAGAACAAGGTAGGAATAAATACATAATTAAAACTAACGATTCATATTTTCTTAAACATTTAAGTAGATAAATAAAATAAAATGATCTTATGAGTGTATAAAAATAGTGAGTACTTACAATATTTAAAAGAATATGTTTAGCACTTCTAAGTATATGTGAGATATTCATTAACAAAACCATTTTACAATCATAAAAAATTATTAATAATTGATACTAACATTTATTAAAAATTATCCTTGTAATTATTATGGAAAGTTTATATATATATATATATATATATATATATATATATATATATATATATATATATATATTACTCTACTTGTATTCCATTATTTTTAGTCAGAAAGGGATACATTTTATAATTGAAAATAAAAGTCAGATATAATAAAAATAAATATTAATGAGGTATTTTGCTAAAAAAAGTTAAGGATAAATAAATAAATAGATAAAAAAAACTAAATAATAAAAAGGAAGTTTAACTTAAAAAAAAAAAAGAAACTTTTTTGAACTTTAGAATTATCATATTTTGCTTGGTTTGCAAATGGACTACCTTAGCTCAATGTTTTAAAAAGAAGAAAACAAAAATAATAAACAAATAATAATAATTAAAAAAATGAAAGTTCTAAACTGTGAAGGTTGGTTGCGTGTTTCGAAATGCTACTGAAGCTATACTAGTATTCTATTTAATCACATTGCTTTTTTTTCATTTTAATAGTAAAAGTATTGATATATTATACACATGAAATGAAAAAGTTGAAACATTGATTTAAGATTTTCGACACTTCATTCTTATCAAATCATTTAGACCTTTTCTTTCTTTTATTTTAATAATAAAATAACAGATTAAAAAAATAAATAAGAAATAAAAATTTAGTTAACTAACTCGTACACGTCTCTCCCTATCTTTATACTCTGCTTTACATTACTTTTTTAACATAACTCAAAATATGGTCTATGAGCAATATTCATACTTTAGAAAGTTAAGAAACGTTTCAGATTTAAGCGATAGTGAAGGATGATGGTTGGCTGGAACAATGTAGCTTCTTCTTTCTGTTTTGGCCTGATTTCTTTCTCTACTCTTTTCTATTTCTTGGTATTTTTTTAATATTCTAGTTCTTCATATTTCTTTACTCGATTCTCTCCTTCTTTCTCATATCTCCTCTAAAAAAATGCTCTCTTAATTTTTTATCCTCCCTTTAGGAACTTTTTCTTTCCTCTTTGAATTTTTTTTTTTTTACTTTCTTTCCTAAATTTTTTTTTTCATATTTCTTACTTGAGTTTTTATACTGGTCTTCAATCTCACGTTTTAGGATTTCATAAATGTCAAATATCTGAGTTTTTTCTCTTTTCATGTATAAAGTCAATTTTGAAATTGAGATATAAGTTTGCATAGTGCGAGACTTCTATTTCTAGGAACCAATCTCTCTCTCTCTCTTTTTTCAAAATTTTTCATTTTTTTAAAGCAATTTTATTTTATTTTTATATTTTTTTTATTTGAAGGCAATCCTTAAAAGGCAAGAATTGATTTTCACATTACTAGTAAAGGAAGAAGAATCATCCATATTTAGTTTGAGTTGTCCATGATTAGAAGACACTCATTTGACATGCAATGGGTCTTTAATAATCCTAAAGAGACTCTTGGAATTATCCCTAAAATAGTACTCAATATATTCAACATAAAAAAGAGTTTTGAATAAGCAAATTAGGTAGACTAGAAGATTGTTTAAACATAAAACAATTGCTATTTTTTCATAAGTACTAAATAATAATATAAAAAATTTTATTTCAATTAAGAAAATTGTAATTGAGCTGAACATTCAAATAATAGGATATTCAAACTCAAAAAATTACAACTGAAAAAGTGAATCCATTGATTAGACAAATATGGATAACTTTTTAGTATAAAAACAATATCTTAAAACATGGATAATATTTTTAGGAGCATCACCACACCTAACATAAATGTCATAATTAGTTATACCTCTCTTATAACTCCCATCATTAGGTAGTAGTTTACTATGAGAAATTTTCTATAGAAATAAAGTATTTTTTGGTGGTCTTTTCCATTTTTAAACTAATTTAAAAATCATTAAAAGGAGATTGTGTAACAATGGAGTTAGTAATTAATTGATAGACAAATTTAATGGAAAAAAAAATCATTTTTAGACAAAATTCAAAAAATAGAATCCTAATCATTAAGACTAGAAGAAGGATTAATCTTAGCAATAATATTACAAATCTACATATAAAGTATATTATTTAATTTTTCTCAATTTCAACTACTATTAAGAAGAAAACAATGGATATAAACATATCTTTATCTATGTCAAAAATAGGCTAGATAATAAGACTACGCAAGTTACTAATGTCAGGAATCTAGTTAGTCCATTCTTAATGAACCAACTCAAACCTAGAGAAAAGGTAGGCCAAATAGAGATTAGACCTTTTCAAAGATGAGAAACTTGTTGAGATTTACTAGCCACAAGATTTGCCCAATTCTAAATTTATATTTGGCTCTAGTTATCTAGACCTACAAATCATTTTGAAAGGTAATAAACTTTCAACCTATTTTCATCATATAAGAAAGATTAAAGCTATAAAGATGCCTAAACCCTAAACTCCCTTTTGATTTACGTTTACAAATTTTTTGTGAACATATAAGATGATATATTTTTTGTGCCAATAGATCCTCCAAATAAATTTCTTATAAATAATATTTATTTTGGTGCATATATGATAAGTGTATAAAATAAATGATTTGAGATGGTAAATTAAACACTTTTGTGTTAAAAGTTGGATTATTTGTTAAATTCTCTTCAAACTTGAAACTTTTACAAATACATATATATTTTTGAAATGAATGTAATTTTATGGTTTTAAGCTCTTTTTGATCTATTTTGTAGCTGGAATCACAAAAGAAACATCACTTAAGGTTGAAGAAGATTAAAAAAGTTAAAGGAAGGAGTAATTGAAGCATAAAGTTGCAGAAAAGTCAGCTTCTGGAGGTTTCTCGCTATAGCGAGAAACACTAGCTGCAGCGAGAAGTTGCAGCTGGAGGAGGGTGAGTCTGTTCCCCTGTTGCTACATCGAGAAGTGGTCGCTGTAGCGAGAAGGCTTTTTTTCTCGGTGTAGCAAGAGTTAATGTTGCAACGAGAATAAAACAGAATGACCTAATTTTATCTCCATTTCTAGCTACATCGAGGCCATGTCGCTATAGCGAGAGAAGTTCGACCATACCAGTATAAAAGGCAACTTTTATGTTCAAGTGAGAAGTTAACTGTTGAAACTCTGTTACAGAGGTCCAAACAACGTAAAGCATAGAGGAAAAGTAGGAATACTCATGTTTTTTATGCTTTATTCCTTTTGTATCTCCATTTTTGTTGTTATGAGAGTCATGAGCAGCTAAATCTTCTTATGGGATTGAATGTAAATCTTCAAACTTGATGTATTCTCAGTAATCTATATAAATATAGTTGTTTCTTCATCATTTCTAAGGATTTGGTGATCTCAATCTGTTTATAATGTTTGAATCTAGTTATTTGACAGCTTCTAGTGTTAAGATCTGAGTTATATTTGAAAAGATATTGTTTAGATCTAGATCTGATTGAGATTACTCAATAATCGATTGTTTTAGGAATAAATTTTAAGTTATTGATTGCTTCTAAATCCTGATTTCAATGCTGGATAGTTTATTAATTGTTTGAAGAATCAACATTTGAGAAATTATCTTAGAAATGTATTTTCAAGAAATTGAAATATATGATTTTTGTATTTTGCATCAGATTCATTGGAAATGATTGTTATATTTATCACTGGATTACTAGAATATATAGGAGGAGATAGATGAAATTCAATCCCAGCTTGTTAACTTAAATTCTAACACATTTTATCTTAGTGCTTTACATTTTAAGTGTTGGTAAATATTACATGAAAATTATTCACCAATTCTATTGTATATAAGCTTAATTAATTTGTATCTTATTAATTAATACATTTGAATTACTCTCTGAGGACGATATTCTTATACTCTACCGGTTATTACTTGCAATAGACTCGGTACACTTGCCGTGTTTGAAGGAAAAGAACCAACAATATAGAAACATTGATTAACCGAGTTTGCATCCCATAGTTTGGAATGCTCACAATAAAAGATTGACCAAGAGCAAACTTACTAATTAAAGACAAATAATTCTTTTTCAAAGAGATATTTTTTTCCCTAATCTAATCAATAAGAAAATAGATGTTATGCCTAGAAGGCTTATTATGCTTAACAAGTATCTCAAGAGAATTACCAAAATGTTAAGAGCAATTAATATTGAAAGACTCACATAATCTTTGTTAGAGATCCATCTGTATTTTTAGAAGAAAAACATAGGAAAGATTTTTCTTTATTAATCACTTGTCTAGAGGTTGAACATAATTCATGCAACACTATTTTGATGAGATCAACTTGTTGAAGGTCAACTTTAGCTACTAAAATAATATCACCAATAAAGAATAAGTGAGGAATTTTAAATTCTTGGCAGCCAAAGGAAAAAAAGAACCAATTCTCATACAAAATCCTATCTTTAATTAAGTGGGTTAATCTATCAATATACAAAACAAAAATATACAAGGAAAAGAGGATTTCCTTACCTAATTCCTCTAGAAGGCTTATGATAAGCCTATGTTTTAACATGATTTTGTAGTCTATTTTTATGTACTTAATCATTATTTGAATGAGTTTTGCACTAATTATTGTATTTTAATATGTTAAAAACTTTGATGGATTATTGAGGTGTTTTGGACATGAATTGATGAAAGATAAGGCAAATATGCCCATGCTTCGAGCTATAAGCATGTCTATACATATTGGTGTGTACAGATATACTCCTCTTCTGATGCCTAAGATACGATAACTCTATAAAAAAACTTAGTATTCCTATCCCTTTAGATTGGCAATTTAACCCTAAAGTGATTGTACTGGTAAGTCTCCTTCTAGTAAAAGATTAATTGATAATCCTTCCCCAAAGACTTCTTAAGGTTAATTAAGGATTATAACTAAAGCAAGTTTATGGAAAATACCTTCAATCCTGCTAAAAATATGTTATTTTTATATTAAAAAAATTACCAAATGTATACCTTGTAACACCCTTTTATTCATTCATTTATTATTTGATAAATTGCTTGAGACTAGATGATGTTGGGATGTGTTTTAATGTGATTTAATGACTATTTGGAAGAGGTCTGGCATAAGGAGTCTTGCTCAAGTGAGACAGGTCTTACTTATTGAGATTGAACACTCATAATCACAAGATTTTAGAGTATTCTCGCTTAAGCAAAATAAGATAAACTTGTCCCAACTATCCTTTCATCCAGGCAAGAAGAGATCTCGCTCATGCGACAAGTGACCTCGCCTAAGCAGTCTCATAGGAAAAATGAAAAACTCTTTGGACTCCTTGTCGCTCAAGCAAAAATATCAGAAAAAGCTTGGGGAACCACTCTCTGATTTTCTAGCTCAAGCAAGAAAGGACTCGCCCAAACGAGAATGATCTTGTTCAAGTGAGAGCCCGCTCGTTCAAGCAAGAGCGTGCGAGATTTTAGGGGCATTTAAGAAATTTCAACTAAAAAAACTTGCATTGCAATCCAAGAAAACTTCTCTGACTCTTTTCTCGAAACTTTCTATTCCTTTCTCCCAAAGAAACACCTCTAAGCTTTGAACCCATACTTAAATTCAGATTCCATTGAATTATTAGTAAGTTTCTCAGACCCTGACTCTTCAATCTTATCTCTATTTTTTCTTTTCTCAAAAGGTACTCTTCTTTATAATATGTAGGAAGACCTTAGTTTTTTAGACGATCTCTTCCACTAACTTATTCATGAAACCATTTATTTGAGGTAAGAAAAGTTCTATTTTCCCATTATTGGGAACATGGTGTGTTCTATCCATGTGAATGTTGTTTTGTGTTACTTGTTTGTAAATATGTATATATGTGTATTGAATATATATATATATATATGTGTGTGTGTGTGTGTGTGTGTACGTTGTGGCCTGAGTCCAAACCAGCAATGAATGATTGATAATATAATATAGGCAATGAACTTGAATAAAAAGAAAGAGAAAAATGATGAAAAACAAGCTACCATAAAAGTGACAAGTGTATGTTATAATGAGAGATAAAAAGTGATAAACTCAAGATATAATGAGAAGTATGGAAAGGGAAATGATGATGAGAAAGGAAAGATGATAAGGACAAGTGTGGATAGTTCAAAGATACATTGGGAGTGTGAAAAATAAAGGTGATTTTTAAAAAATATTGAAGAAATGAGGGTGGTAGATATTTTTATTTGATTTGTACATAATTAATGAAAGTAAAAGTACCATAGGCCTCAACTCATTTTCTGACTTAAACTCCTAATCATAATTTTGCTAAAAGGGGTCTAATCGGCATATATTGTATCCGTGTAATTGCAACTATCTAGTAACTATTTATACTAAGGAAGACCTGAAGAGATTTTAGGGATAGTGAAATTTTAAAATAAAGAATTAAGGAATAGTGAAAAGAAAAATAGAATAAAATCATGGTATTAATGAACATTGTATGTACATGAAATGAAACTTTATTTTTTTTTCTTGTTATTGATTGATATGTTATTTATGTTTGTATTGCCTAATCTTATTGTAAATCATGTTTAGTAATGAGAAAAGAGGTTTATCCTTACAAAATATTTTAGGGAATTAAGATGTCAAATCTCTAGAGATTTGTTAGACTGTTAGAGTTACTTATTAGCAGTAGACTTAACTATGTATTTACGAAGTGACAGTGGCTTTGTCATTGTAGATTTATTGTAAATAGTAATGATAACTATTGTATTTACTTTAGAAATGACAGTAGGATATAATGTACCTTTTGATTACGTTATTAGTGGTAGGATCTACCATACCCTATGCTTGTACATATATAGAGGTTTGGTCAGAGCACCAGATGCGGTGAATTACTTATACACTTTTCTGGATCATGATCATCATGGAAGACTAAGCTGATTTATTTCAGAGCGAGTCATTGGTACTGAGGTGGTAGCTGATACGGGTGATCTTGGTGAGAAGAGAACATATCCTCAAAGGAATTAGCGGAGATAGAGGGATGACGACTAGGGTCATCTTCAGTCTTTTGATGTGAAAATATTGTTCATTAGGACTTATTGTATTTTGTATCTTTTGTAAATGATGTAAATGAGTCCTAATGCATTTTGAAATTATGTTTTGTACTTATTAAACATTTGTATATTAATGAAGTTGGTGTACATATATTTTGCTTCAGCTATTTGTCTAAATTTATTTGTTTTCCTATTGCCTTATTCCTGGAAAACCTTATAAATTTGAGTAATAAGAATGAAAGTTTTAAATTTTCATGACTTTTGTACTTTGAATATAAGTAAACTTAATTTAATTTTTCTTTCATTTATTAAATTGTATAAATAAAATAAGGATGTTATATACATATTCTAGTTAAATATACTAGATCTAAACCTAATAACATCCTCTGTTCAAGAACTAGTGTTTAACCAATAATTTATGGAAGTCACTACCTATAATCTTAGGAGCAAAAAATTTAAAATATATTAATTTTATTCTTAATTTCAAGTCATAGAACATCATGATTGAATTTCAAAACCAAGATATGAATAACAAAACTATTTCGGAAAGAAAGCCTCCAAAACTTTTTTATTGGTAACAGCTGATCAACACTCTCCCTAAGAACACTCATATGTTAGGTAAAAGAATTTTTCTTAAATTGTAGGTCTTACCTGCCACAAAAATCTAAATATCCAGCAAGTTCCTTAATGAATTTATAGTTTTAATAGGACTCCCTTCTTTTTCTAGTTTTATAAATAATTGAATTAAAGTTTGTAACCATACATCAAGAATTGTTTATGAAGTTACTAAACTCAATTAACCCTTTTCAATATAGAACTTTAAAAGAATCTTAAAAGATTAACATATATGGAAAACAAAACTTAATCCTCTTAACACTAAATCTCTTGTGAAAACTCTATAATTAATAAAATTTAAATAAGCAAGCTTAATTTTAAACATAAACTTAGTTATTTAACTAAAATAAATAAAATTGAATAATATATAAAAAAATATTTAAGTACTTCATTTAACTTACATATAATTTGTTATAATTGTTATTTTATTGATTTTTAGATATAAGTTAAATAAAAGATTATATTAAGTGTAAGAATTTTTAGACTTTACGATAGTATAAGAAGATCTTATTCGATATTATATAATTTTTTTATAATTATTCTAGATTTAGAATTTAAGTTAATAAGAAATATGACTATGTCACTTTGCAAAGAAAAATAAATGAATAAGTCTACTGATCCCGAAGAAAAAAAAACGAATAATCTTATTATAATTTGTTTGCATCTTTCTCCCTTATAATATGGTATTATCATGTTCTTCACAAACACACGAGGATTCAAATACAAATTAATTTCAAAGTCATCATATTTATATATATTTTTCTATCATACTCATTATATCTATACATTGTGAAACCATATTTATCCAAAAAAATAAAAATAAAAAATCAAACTGAATAATTTGTTTAACCTCATCTCACGAGTCTAACTGTAAATGTGCTCCCTTTGACTTACGATACCTCCAAATTTTGATGTATGTTGTCGGCAAGGCAATGTCAATAATATGTGTTGGATAGAAGAGGTTGTCTTTAATCACCCGCCACTACCCACCCTTTCTCTTTCTCACATCACATGAATGGTGAATATCATATCGTCTTTATTCAACCACCAACTCATCATCTCATAATTCAAACTCACTCTCTCACTCTATCCATTCCCATAACACCATCACCATGGAGGGTCTGATCAAGGGTCTGGTCGACGTCGCTCTCGGCGTCAACGATGACGATCGCGATCAATCACACGAGGAACAACGCTCCAGATCCTCTTGGGCCGAAGTCGTCTCTGGAGATCGCTCTCAACACGACAAGGTCACATTTTCCATTTCTTCATTTCCATTCTCAACTTAATCATACCCATAAATCAAAATTTAATCTTGTTCGTTAACTTTATCGTTACAGCCACATGAGGAGGAACGGTGGCAAGAGGAAAGTCACAGTTACAGGGCTTCCATTAGGCCTCATAAGGTCAATCAGCAATGATTTCTTCTCTATTTTTGAATTAAAGAATTGCATATGTATATCAGTTATGGTTTACACTATGTTGATATAATATATCACTGCAGGAACAGTATCGTCCTCAACATAAGGAGGGTCAATCTGAAAGTTTCAACACTCTCAACAGACCTCACAAGGTTTCCCTCATATTAGATTCAAGTTCAAATTGCAATTTTGATACCGTGAAGAGAGATATGGTTGCAGCTTAGCTTAGCTTTAAAGTTTTTATGCAGGGGTTTGCTGATCTTAAGAAATGATCACTTAATTCTTTGAAATGTAATGTAGCTGAAACCTGACTTTTAAGAAAATATCTAGCAGTAGGAAGATTATTGTTGGTTCGGTTGTTACCTTGGATTTGATACATCACTTGGGTCATTTGTCAGTACTGATTAATTATAATGATACTTTAATAGTTAACATTTTGTAATGTATATGTTATGAAAAAAAAGTTGTGGTATCAGAGTGGAGTTATGATGCTGCATCATTTGAGCTTGATATGTACAACATTCATGCTCCTACGGACCTCTTGCCTCGGTCTCTGTGCATAAAGTTTGAGACTGTTATTGGAGAAAAGTATTTGAAGAAATAAATGTTTTCTTTTTCTAATTTATTACATGATAAATGGTCCACTGCACTGGGTATTTGAAAATGTTGAATAAACTTGGTTATTGGCCAATCCCTTTTTGTTCTTTCAAAGTGACGCAGCATATAATATGGAGGTTTTTTTTTTCTGTTAAAATTTAGCTATTTTGGTGAATTCAATCTTGTTTTATTTTTGCAGTTGGATGAAGATGAAGATAAAGATGAATGGCAGACTGTTGGCAGACCTTCAAGGAAGAACCAAAAGGTTTATCTTTTAATTCTAGTCAACATGTAAAAGAAAAAACATTGTAGCTTTTCAGTGTTTTGTGTCATTTCAAACAAATCATATTGTGTTAATACTGCTGTTACTGGTATATCTTCTTTGAATTCTTCTTCATGTTTGCTTTCTTACTGAATGTGTGATCTAATCACTTCTGAACATTTTATGCCTGATCCCTGACTGAATCTGAATGATGGATCTTACCAACTTGATGCAGGTTCCAAAGGAAAATTGGCACAGCTATAAACTACCTCCCAGTGAGCAAGAATACTCTAATGAGGTTGAAGTTGGTGCTGGTGTGGAACCCTCACAAGATGAACTTGCTGATCTGTCAAGAGCTTGTGACAAACTCTGGGATCTTGATTTAAATCGTTTGATACCTGGCAAAGACTATGAAATTGATTGTGGTGAAGGGAAAAAGGTTTACCAAAAAGAAGATATGGCAGAGGGGAGCTTGTTTACTTGGGTTAGTGATGATGTATTCAGAAAGCCTACTTTTGCTCGTTTCCTTTCACTTTTAGATAATTACAATCCACATCAAGGGTGTAAGGAAGTTGTCACATCTGAAGAGAGACAAGAGCAAGCTTCTTTTATAGAAGAAATTAGTAGAACAGCTCCGATTAAATACCTTCACAAGTATCTTGCTTCTAAGGGAATTGCATCAGAGAGTTACCAAGATTTCAAAAGAATGATGACAAGTCTGTGGTTTGATCTTTATGGCCGCGGTGGTACCTCTGGATCATCTTCTGCTTTTGAACATGTTTTTGTTGGAGAACTCAAACAAAGTGGTGAAGTTTCTGGCTTTCATAACTGGCTCCAGGTTTGAACTATCATGTTTCTTTCGGCCTGTTTGTTTATTTGTTCACAATTCATGGCAAACAGAAGATGCATTAACTTAGGATTTTCAAAGTCATATTTGATGCTCTTTTCATTCACCATGCTGATTTACCAGTCTCATTGGTTAGCCAATTACTATATTATATTTGTAGATTAGTTTGTCAAGTCTTGTGTTATTGTAAACCATGCTCTGTGTAGAATAATTTCAAAGTTGATATTGCTAAGAATATTTTGCATTATTTGTGGTGTCAATGACATGCTATATCTACAAGTACTTGTTTATACCAGCTATTTTCTTTGTTACTGAATGTTCCTCCATAACTTTTTGTAATGCTTTCCAATAATGTTCTATCTAGTTATTTGTGAAGTTGTTAATCTATTAAATGAGCAGATGGGGGGCTTGCATTGATATATGTTGTTTCTTTGATTTGTAATATGAATATATCTTTACATTTTGTGAAATTTTTATCTCACCTATAGATGTCTTTTGGCAGTTTTACCTTGAAGAAGAAAAGGGGAGAGTTGATTATCAAGGCTATATTTTTCCCCGTCAACGAGGACAAACTGTGAGTCACTACTATCTGTTACACTTTTTATTATTAATAGTTATTCCTAACAGAGAAATTAAATTTTGGTGTACCAAAAACAGGAAAGTATTAAACGTCTGCACTAGCCAGACATCAAAGCACATTGAAAATATTTTTCAGCAACAATAAATGATTTTTCATAAATAGATGAGGCCTTATTTAAAATCTTCAATCATACTTTGGTTAGAGTTAGTACGGTTGTGTTTATTTGTAGGTAAGCAATTGTTATAATTTGTGCTGTGAACGCAACCCTTTTAATGTTCTTTGCTACTGTAATTTGCAGCCTGACTCTGAAACCCAGCTTCTGACAATTCAGTTTGAATGGAATGGTGTTCTGAAATCTGTATCAAGCACTTTGGTTGGAGTGAGCCCTGAATTTGAAATTGCATTGTATACCCTGTGTTTCTATGTTGGTGGGGAGGATAACCACATTCAGTTTGGTCCATATGCAGTTAATATCAAGTGCTATCGTTTTGGGAATCGAATTGGATCTATTTTCCCTATTGCAGATTCTTGAATTCTCAGTTGCTGGCAAAGATATTGGTTATTTCAAATGAAATTGCTTGTTATGCATACTTGTAAGTCATAGATGTAAGAACAACAATATCAATTAAATCAATTAGTACATGGTTGTACAATATTTAGAGAAGTACATATACATTTGGTGGCTCTTTTGTCTCGGATAAAGATAAATTATTGTGGAACTAATTTGCTTCTTTTTTAATTCAATCTTAAACGATATGCTATTATGTGTTCCATTTAAAATCTCAAATTTTGCTGGCTTGCAAAATGCTTATCGTGGGATACAGGTATGAATCATTCAGATACAGCTCCGGATCATCAAAATACTTTCATCTTTTTGAGTTGTGCTGCAAAGGCAATCCCTCATGTCTTACAAAAATATCTTAAAAAGTCTCGAGCTCTTTCCAAAAGTGTTCTAATTGAGATTTTACAAGCAAGTTGGTGCTAAATTCTCAAAATTCCAAGTTTTTTTATTGAACTGATTTTAGTTCTATCTTTTAAATTCTCTACTATGGCCTGGTTAAGCTTGCACTTTGTAGATAAATTTACTGGTATTAACATCTTTACTTAAAGAAAAAAAAACTGCATAAACATCTATCATAACCCAACCCTTCCATTCTTTTTGTTTTCAATTTACTTTAAGGTCTTGAGCCTTTATTATCATGTTGAATGACCTGCACCACTATATCTTATAATACCAATTCATTAGCTCACCTATGTACAGCAACAACCATTGCTTATTATTTGATTAGTAAATTGTGTGAAATGTAGGTTGATTAAATGAAAGAGTAAATATTATTTTAGTTTCTTCCATAAAAGTGTCGATTATATTAATTCTTAACTTCATAAAAATCTCATTTTAGTTCTTAACTTTTTAAAAATATACCTTTTAATAATCTTTACTTCATTTTTCAATGTTATTTTAAGATTGAATGTTTTTGATCCTTTAAATACATCAAAAATTTATTTTGGTTCTTATAAATTTATTTATTTATTTGTTTTAATCTCAATATGTTTAAAATTATTAACTTTGGTCCCTATTAATTGCTAAATAATAATATGCCTAACTCAATTGGTACATGTCATTTGTATGTGAATTTCACATTAATGAGGCAGATCAAAATTAATTTTTAAAATATAAGAACTATAAAAAACAAAAAAATATAGGAACTAAAATTAAAATTTGACATATTTTAAGAAATTAAAAGCATATTTAAGTCTGATATATTTATTACCATGAATGTCATTTTAAATGGGGTTTTGAAGAAGGGTAGACTTATAGCTAGCTGAGAGCCACGGATAAAGGAGTGTCAACTCGCCGGTAGCTGAGAGCCAATCAGTGCAGCACGTGCTACAAGTGTGGAAATAAGTAATGTACGTATGGGATTTTTCTTATAACTATAATGACAGTGAAATTAGATTCCCATTAAGAAAGGAACTAATATTTGACCAATAAGTTAGGTTCCACGTACACACCCTTAGCCATAAACAACATTTACCCTTTAAATTCACAACATTCATAACTTCCTCACCAATCTCCATGGTTCCTCCCCCTTGTTCACTGAAAAAGAAGATTTGAAATGGCTTCTTCTGAAAGTGAGAGATTCCCTCCATTTTGGACTAACTTGGATAGAAATCTTAAGAAATCAGTGAATTTCACCACGAGGGACTATAAAAAGCTGTCTTTTTTCTTACTTTAAGTTTTTCCCGAAGAAGCTAATGCTAAGGTATTCTACTTTCAAACTAAACGTCGATGGCAAATGTCATGTTTCGTTGATTTCCAAATCTTAAATTGTTAATTTCTTACGTAAGAACTGAGGCTAACTTGAGAGAGGAAATGTGACAACGTAAAGATAAGGTTGTATTTCCTCCACAAGTTTTTGGCCTATGAATTACATGCACATAGATCATCTCAATAACCCTTCTTAGGATAGAGCACAAAATATCACAAATCAGGCATATTTGGAAGATTCTGAATCATCTAATTCTGGCAGAAGAAGATCAAGTTGCACAAATTTGCAATCAAACCTGAATACTTCCACGTTCCAACTGATGCCGATGCATTAAAACCGACAATATATTAACCAAACAAGTTCTTCCTACCCTGCATGTCTGTCCCCTGTTAATATCTTTTGTTTTAGGTGGTTATAGTAATCCCGTACTCTGTATGATTGTGACTAGCACCAATTTATCAGCAGTGCAACCATTTTTATATGGAGTTTCCTTGTCATGGGGAAGGAGATCAACTGGGGTAAAACAATGCAAGAATGTGAATATTGTTGCTAGTATAAGAGAATATAGAATAAGATTTTGTTTAGATAAACTCCTCGATATACATTTATAGAGATAAAATAAAAAAATAAATTTTATTTAACTTTTCTAAAATTTGAAGTATATAAATTAATTTTATCTTATAAATTTTTTTTTTTTATTTTATGTTTTTATTTTTTTCTTTACATAAACTAATTTTAAATTAAAAAGTAATTAAAATACATTTCTTGTAAGTTAAAATTTAATTATACACTTATCCCCTTTTAAAAATTTTCTTTTCTAACTTCTTAATATCTCATTATCACCTTATCACTAATATAGTAATATTATATTTAAGGATGTTATGTAAAGCAGTTAAATGATTTAATATTTTTCATATATTATTTTAAGAGTCTTTTTCTTTCAATTTTTTTATAAATTAAGTCACAATTAATTTATCTCTCAAACAATTAGCACGGAATCAAAAAATTTAATTACGTAGCTATTTTTAATGAAATGTCTCTTCAATGGCAATTGCTTATACTTACGCAAGTATCATTCATTTTAATTTTTAATACTTTAATTTCAAATCATTAATTGTCTTTTCTTTCGCAAAACAATTTCTTAAATAAGCGTATAACATTATTTAATTTGTATTATTATTGTAAATTTTAAATATAACTAATTTATTTACTATTAAAAACGTGCCATTTTTTTTCTTATTTCATGTTGCCACTCAAATTTTCTTGACCTGTGCACGATATTATTATCAATAATTATATAAAAATTATCTAAAGATTGACACATATATAAGCGTTTTAAATAAACTTTTCCTACCTGTTTTTTTCTTGTTCTAACGTATTTTAAAGATTTTATTAACTTTAGCTCTTAGAACTAAATTTATTAGTTTAAATATTCATAAATAAAAAAATATTTATAAAAAATATAAATTTATTATATTAAAATTATAAAAATATAATAAATATTTTTATTTTTAATAAAATTTTATTATTATTAGTTACTTATTCTTAATTCTTTACAGAATTTAACATAATCTTTCTTTTAATAGTTACTAAAATTAATTGAATATTAAAGTTATATTTAAGATATTAAATTTTTATGTAATTTTATTCATTAAAATAAAATATTAAATTGAATTATTACTCCTTTTACTTTAAATATGATATCTTCAAATTTTAACAACAATTGATAAAAAAAATTTAAAATTTTAAGTCATCATATTAATATAGAATTTTTGTCCTAAAATTTTATTCTATTATGTGACCAATATACATAAAAAAAACTAGTCAAGTCAATAACCTACATCATTATTCCATTGAAAGAAAACGTCAATAACCTATATCATTATTTCATTGAAAGAAAACAATATTTCAACTAGATTTAGTGTCATTATAACAAAAGAATAAGCTTGAGATAAAAAAAATGGTTAAAAAATAAATTAAATTAATAAATAAAAGAAAAACAGAAACTAAATTTAATATTTAAAGGATGAAAATATTATAGTTTTTTTATATTAATAAAATAAAATGAATCAAATATTACATATATGCTCTAAATTAAAAAATTTATAAAAATACTTTAATTTAAGTTATATAGAAATTGATTTGTTGCTGTTATTATGGTAAATGTTATAAAATTTAATTTAAATTAATTTTAGTAATGTAATATAGAAGTTGATTATAATTGAATTTAGTTATAAAAAATTAAATTATTATATTTAAAAAAATTCTGATTGTCATATGTTGATAGTATCTTAGTTGCAGAAAATACATATAAGCTACGGTAGACTGTAGTACGGGCCAGTTGGACATGCTGCAACAATACTCCAATCAAGAATTGGGTCTCGATAAAAAATAAAATAATTTTTAATTAATAATTAAATAATGAATAAAAATTGATGCTATTTAATATAAAAAGGTAGAAGACATGTGTTATAAAATAAATAAAAATACGTGGCTAATAATAAATACATATAAATTACAGTAACTATATTTCTATAATTGAACAGATTTTTTTCTTTTATATATTATTTTTTATCACAACATATCATTTATTATTACTTTATACATCGAGAACTACTTTTTTTTAGCGTATATTAAAGTTTGACAATGGACAACAGAATACTCTCTAAATAGGAAATAAAAAATAGAAAATGGTAGAAGCACTACCTAATATGTGATGCTAAGTTTACGTGCGGAGCGAGAGAGGAAGAGACGTGATTTTCTTTTTTCATAACTAAAGTGGATTATAATTAATTTTTTTATAATTAAAGTAGATTATAATTTACTTTTACGATTGTACTATCAAAATTGATTTAAACGACTTCTGTTTATTTAAATTAAAATATTTTTGTACAACTTTTTAATTTGGATCATACATATAATATCTGATTCTTTTTATTCTATTAATATAAAATCCCAAATACTATTTTGATCAAAAGGATATAAACCTGCCATAAAAAGAGAAGGAAATGAACCTTAGATTAGGTTGATTGATTAAGTCATAACTATCAAGCTTTGCTTAACTATAGTACTCTTAAAAGACTTGAGAATGACATCAAACAAGCCCAGTTATATCATGTCAATATCAATTCACCCAAAGTTCCTCTGCAGTTATGGTTATGGAAACTATTATATGGTGCTACTATCTTTTGAATCAATCAAATAACGGGTAAGGAGCACACAACAAAGGCCTTACCAGCGAGAATAAACTAGTAATCCATAAAAGTGCAGCATATTAGCAAATAGAGATTCTTCATCAGCATTTCAATTCTGCCTTCAAGTGTCATCTTTTAGACGTTGTCAAACTAAATAATTGTTAGTCTCTGGCATGTATTAGGAAAATTGTTGCCAGATGACAAAAAAGACTTCATCCACATTCAATGACACTGTACATCATCGGGGTACATCATCGGTCAACATTAAAATTCTATTAGTACCTCATCAATAAAATGCATTTGTTGAAAACTAAAATGGCATAAAAAGTTGAGTAGTTATCAAAAAACGCGCAGAAAAAAGAATGGTCCAAGACTAATGAAACCAAAGACTTCTTCTGAACCACAGGTTTTCCCAACTAATGAACATGCAACATTTCTTATCTTGAGCAAGGTGAACCAGAACCAAGAAAATATTGAAATTATGAGACATTTTCATCCACGAAAACCCAGATTGAAGGAAAAAGGCAGAAGACAGAAATCAATGAAAAGCTAGCTCATTTGGTGGGGTTTGTCTTATGGTGGAAATGCAAACCACTCATTAATTATCATGCCAAGAAATATGCTTGTAATATCACTAAGAAAAAGAATAGAAAATAATTAACTAATCGTTCAATTTTGGCTTTGCTATAGAAAGCTGTTTGCAGTTGCTGTCTGTGAACTCATTTCAACAGTTTGGATCAAATATGGGACCCTAATTTTTAACAATTTTGATTCTTCATTATTCATTTCATTTCTACTTCAAGCACTGCGAAACAAACATTAAGGCCAACTATTGTACAACAGCAGTGCAAAGAGTTTAGCAGAACGTTTATGCATAGATGACAGTTAATTCAAACCCTCAATAGGATTGCATAGCCTCAAAATACATCACTTGTTTAGCAGATAGCTTGAAATTTTCACTTAAAAGCGGTGGATAATCTTTTAATCTCCTCGTTTCTTGGTCATTATTATAGTTCAGTGATTTGTAATAACTGGAGAACCAGAGAAAAAGATGTCATTTTCTTCATTCTTAGTCACATATTTTTCTTTCCTCTACTTGAACACACTCATGACATGATCAAGAATCCAGACAAATAAATTACTGTATGTGAATAACCGTTAAAAACTGAAGCCCAGAGGTTTTCAGTTAGATAAGAATGGAAGAGGTGGAGACACGTAAGCAAGTATACTAGTTTTGATTTTTTGCACCTTTTTCCACTTTTCAAATAGAGCCCACCAATGTTGTCAACTTCCTCTCCCCAACCTGAATTCCTTTTTATAAATAAACGCTTTACATATTGAGTAATTCTTACATACCCTTCCTCCATCTTCAAAAAATGGCTCTAACACTTCGTTCTTCAATTTCTTTTATTAATCAGAAAGAAACCAAAGTTCTTAAAACTTGGGATGATGCCCCTGCAATAGTCAGTTTTGCAAAGTCTAAGCCATCGTTCCGTATCCGAGCAAAGAATACCATACAAGAAGCACATCACACACACGAGAACAGCTTAAATTCTGAAGTAAGGATCAACGAGATATGGGAGCAGGTGCATGCTCCATCAGTTGTTCATGATCACAATTATTCAAAGAGAGTACCTGTGTTTGTGATGCTGCCACTAGATACGGTAACAATGGGAGGGAACTTGAATAAGCCTAGAGCAATGAATGCAAGTTTGATGGCCCTGAAGAGTGCAGGAGTTGAAGGGGTAATGGTGGATGCTTGGTGGGGTTTGGTGGAAAAAGATGGGCCATTGAAGTACAACTGGGAGCCCTATGCTGAGCTGGTGCAGATGGTACAAATGCATGGTTTGAAGCTTCAAGTTGTTATGTCTTTCCATCAGTGTGGAGGGAATGTCGGAGACAACTGCAGGTATGACAGTACTTGTTTTATGTTACTTGTGGAACATATCTTGCAATTTTGCCCCTTGTTGGATTTTGAATTTTTGATATTTTAAAACCAAGCTCGTAATCCCTTGAATTTTTCCATTTTATGGAAAAGTGAAAATTTTAATTTAAAGTAAGCGCAACTGTTGTCTTCTTAAATATATGAACCAATCGATTGTGTTCGGAAAAAGTAAGACCAAGTAAAAAGCTTGCGTTACTATTTTCTGTGTTGCATTATTTTCAGTATTCCTCTACCGCCGTGGGTGCTGGAAGAAATCAGCAAGAACCCTGACCTGGTTTACACAGACAGATCAGGGAGGAGGAACCCTGAGTACATCTCCTTGGGCTGTGATTCAGTTCCTGTTCTAAGAGGAAGGACCCCCCTCCAAGTTTACGCTGACTACATGAGGAGCTTTCGTGACACATTCAGAGATTACTTAGGCAGTGTTATCGTGGTAAGTAATACAGAAACTCTTGCTACAAACTATTAAACATAGACATGGATATAGGATACAGTAACGGCAAGAAAATATAAAATTTAGTACGTTCATTTGTATTCTGAGGTATTTGTGTCTCAGACAAAAATCCAATAGAGATGTGGTCTATTCCTTTAAGGGCGTGTTTCATAGGCTACAAGCAGTGAGCGTTATCTTATTAAGTCTAGCAACCGTATAAACTTCCAACTATCTGGGGTCTATCCAGTTGGTGACTATTGACTAATCAAATTAAGGTATTAATGCAGGTTTTTTTTCTAAATTAAGACTTTGGTTAATAGGTGTTACAATGGGAATGGAAATTAAAAGGGAGCAGTAACTGTTGACAATGAACTAGGCATGTTATGCTTCATACATTGCCACTCCCGCATCTTTTCTCTATCTGAACAAGATTTGAAATTAAGACTAATACTTTTGCAGGAAATACAAGTGGGGATGGGTCCTTGTGGAGAGCTGAGATATCCATCTTATCCAGAGACCAATGGAACATGGAGGTTTCCCGGAATTGGAGAGTTCCAATGTTATGACAAGGTATAAAAAAAAAAAAAAAACATTAATTAAAACTATTTTTGTACATTCATCCGAAAGCACGATTGTATTAGTAATTTTTCATAACCAGTGATTGGTTCCTATGAATTGATCACTAGCTTGGGGATAGCAAAGCCATCTCCCAGATGACAGTAAAATTTCAAATTTCAAAATATCTGTGGACTTAATGACTCGTTTGTCATGCAGTATATGAAAGCGTCCTTGGCAGCAGCAGCCGAGGCCATTGGAAAGAAAGAATGGGGAGGAAGTGGGCCCCATGACTCTGGCCAGTACAATCAATTTCCTGAGGATACTGGATTTTTCAGAAGGGAAGGAACGTGGAACTCTGAATATGGACGGTTCTTTCTGGAATGGTACTCCAATAAATTGATGGAACACGGCGAGAGGATCCTTGTATCTGCCAAAGGAATATTCCAAACATCTGGGGCGAAATTATCTGGGAAAATTGCTGGAATCCACTGGCATTATAGAGCAAGGTCTCACGCAGCTGAACTAACTGCTGGCTACTATAATACACGATATAATGATGGATATCTGCCAATAGCCAGAATGCTGGCAAAGCATGGAGTCACCTTCAATTTCACCTGCATGGAAATGAAAGACAGAGAGCAGCCCGATTTTGCTAACTGCTCACCTGAAGGGTTAGTTCACCAGGTAAAGATGACAACAACAACAGCTAGAGCAGAACTTGCTGGGGAAAATGCATTGGAGAGATATGATGCAGATGCATATGCTCAAGTTTTGTCAACAAGTAGGTCAGACGCTGGCAATGGATTGACTGCATTTACATATCTAAGAATGAATAAGAAGTTGTTTGAAGGTGACAATTGGAGACACCTAGTGGAATTTGTAAGAAGCATGTCTGAAGGTGGTCATAGACAAAGACTTCCAGACTCTGATTCCCATGGGAGTGATCTTTATGTTGGGCACATCAAGGGAACTCAGAAGCACACGCAAGAGGCTGCTCTGGTGTGAACGAGTATAGTTAAAGAAAAAGGCTGATCTTTGTGTTCAAGTGTCATGGTGTATAGTTTAAAGCATCATAAGATTTTTTTTTTATAGAAAAAGGGAAGAAGCTAAAAAAGTGGAGAAATGAGTTAGAATTATGATGTGTATAGACAGAATACTGGCATATGCCAATGCTTTGAGATGATCGAGAGAAGATATTATTTTATTTTATTTTATGTTAATGTATATAACTCCAACTATAAAGGAGAAAAACATTATCTGCTGACGTTATATACCCAATTATACTGATATTGAACTCTATTCAGTATTTACCATTTCTATGTTGATTGGTTAATCCCTGGAAACACATCTACAGAAACTCAATAATGTCGTTGGTTTCTCTCAATATGTTACATCTGTATAAAGTAAACTAATGTCAAAGTGTTGAAAGAGAAAAATCTCCCAATATTAATTGAACAATCTTGTCGAGTCTATAGATTCAATCCATAACAATCCTTATTGATGCATCAACATAGATAACATTATGCAAAAAGAAAACGGTTTCTGAGCCAAGAATAAACCAGTAAAATAGTGACAGTTTAACATAGGAGGAGGAGGAACAGGAAAGCTGTTTTCTGACTATCTAGGAAACAATTCATTATTAGCTATCAACATTTTTGTGAAGATATCAAATAATAACAGGTTTGGACCACGTTAAATAGAAATTGGATCCATGTTTGTATTAACGTGTTAACAAACACGCATTTAAGTCATTTAACCCCAATAATGTTGAATTTTCACATGAGATTATTATGTGAAAATCTTGTCTATCCCTTTTAATTTTACAAATTTTGACTGGCATTATTTATTTAATGCTTATCAAGAGGGGAAAAAAAACACAAACCTCTTACATGATCTTGTCATGTTAAAATCTCACAAAAGAGAATCCATCTCAGGCATAAAAAACGCACCGGGCAACGATGTAAAGGAACTTCTTGTCTAACTCATTAATCTGAAGTTTAAATTGGAATGCATAACTTTTGAGATTTAGATCGTTTCATGCCCTGTAACCAACCATGCCTAGTCTTTGCACGATAAAATATCTGTCCCCTCTCTCTCCAATAGCACCACATCACGTTATTCAACAATACGACAATAGAAATCCAATTTTTAGTCTGCTTTGTTTCCTCTTGAGAGATTATTCAAAAAAGCCAACAACAGCAAGGCATTAGTAGAGATCAGTCAACTCAACCGTAATAAAAGGTTTATAAGGAACCTAGAGAGTTGTTTGTGCAAACACATTCAGCGAGCTTAAAAGTTGATACAATCAACACTAGTTACAAAATTGTTAAGGAAAGGATGCAGAGTGAGTTTCACGCGATCATGTTAAATAAATTGAATCCACGGCCTTAAGAAACAGATTAACGTAACTGCGAGAAAAGAAGAGAGAAGAAGGAGGTAGTTCAAGAATCGGTAGGGTTTCCGCGACGGAGATCTTCGATTAGGTGAGATAGCTCTTTCCGAGAGGACTCTCTGCCAAACATGAAGCCATACCTATGAAGGAGAGAATTTCGATTTGAATCAATAAGGCACGTGACAGTTACGATGATCGTCATTTCACAGAATTAGGAGTGAGAATAAATTACCAGAAGGAAATGGCAGAGAAAACGCCAGCAGTGGCAATTGTCTGAACCAGAGTGAGCTTCTTCTCCATTCACCGATTTTCCCCTCACTTCGCTCTCTCTCTCTCTCTCTTTTTTTTTGGTCACCTGTTCTTTGCAAGGGGATGGCCGGTCTTATCAAGAGATTCTCCAAATCCAACACCATACCTCAATGTGGGCCTTTAACATTACGAGGCCCAGTTTCATTACTGACCAAATTCAAGATTACTCGGAGAACTGAACCAAAAAAAAAAGGACTACTGTTTGCATGATAAAATATATAAAAGTTTCCCATTTTTTTTTTGTATTTTCTTTACTTTTTTAAATTTCTCTTTCTTTTTCGTCATTGATTTCACTTTTTTTCTTCTTTTTCTGTTCATTTTTTTTCCTTTCAACTCATCTCACACTTGATAAAAGATGTGAGAAAAGACATCCCAATTGAAAAGGATTAAAGCATATTAATGGAATAATTTATTGTTTAATCGTGATTGAACATATTAATGATGTAAAATAAGAAGATGATAATAAAGTTTGTTTTGGACCGTTAATCTAAATAGCATTAGCGTAAGGATTGTTGTCTCTTCCTCCATGAGTGCTGAAGAAGGTTTGTGTTTTACTTTTTGGTCCACTCAGGCTGGTTACAAGGTCTAAAAAAGCTATCCCATGAGGTAGAATACATCATCAAAGACCACTCAAGAATTGACAATAGGCTCTTTCTTGTTAGTAGGTGATTCTCCAATTAAAGTAGTGCGAAGAAAGAGCATGGCAATGTTCACAGGATTAATTCTTTTAAAATAAAAATTTATTTATTATTAATTTAAATTCATATATTTTGTAAATACAATTAACTTTAAACTAATAATAAATATTTTTTATTTTTATTTATTTTACACGTCTTCTTAAAATCACAGGTCTACCAAGGTTCGTTGCCCTATGTTTATTTACCAAAACAATAACATTTTGTTTGTTCAGTACTGATGCATGACGAATCTCTTCTCATCTTTAAAGATAGTGTCTTCTAATTGTAGCTTATAATTCATAGTACAAGCTAAGCCCACCATCCACTAGGCTCAAAAAATTTGCTTTCTAATTTCACCTTCAGCTTCAAAACCGTACTCCAGCCACACGCACAAGAATAATTTTTTGTAATATAAAATGATTTCGTTGACAAAGTATTCTTCAACCAGAAAAAGTATCAAATAAAAAGTGAAAATATTAACATTTTAATGATAAAAAATTAATCTTATTAAATAATAAGAATATTTTCTATATCAAACATATTATGAATATGATAACCAAAAAATAAAAACTACGAATATAATTTATAATAAACATCTTGAGTAAATTTCTTATAAAAGGATTGAAGATCTTTATATATAAGTTATATAGTTTTTTCTAAGCTTAATTGTATTTTCAGTTATAATACTTTAATTTATATGTAATTTTAGTTTTTTTTAGTTTTAATTTTGATTTCTTACATTTAATTTTGTTATCTTCCTAATTGTTTGAATTAAGCTCTTATCTTAAATTTTTATCTAATAGAGATGTGATGTATTATTGTTTTGTATAAATTAATAAATAAAAATTATAAATATATAATGAAAGCTAATTTTATTTTTAATGATTTTTTAAATTATTTATTAGATAAAATTTGTGATAAAAAATAATTTTAACTGTAAAAAATTAATGAGAACTGAATACCAACCATTAAAATTAGGAGACTAAAATTATTAGCGGACTAAAATTGCACATAAGTTTTCTTTCTGCAACTCTATCATACATGTAACCCAGTTGAAAGATTTTTCTTTCATTTATCTCTCTCTTAAATTTTTATTTTTATTTTCTCAACTAAACTATGTATAACTGTTAGAAAAAAGACACATAAAAAGTAATCATTTGTGATTTTACAACACTTTCTACATCTTTCTCTTTATCACATTACCCTTTTTATTCTATATCTTCTTATCTCTCTTTTCATTGTACAAAATAGTACTACATAAAATAATGATACAAATACAACTTTTCTCTGCAATACTACACAATTCTAGTAATGGATACTGTTTTTACAGCAACCAAATCTTCCCATCACACTCTCGCTTGCAATCCTATTGCATTTCCCAATGGTTTGTACTTATGATGATGTATTATGGTGGGGTCAATGCATGGTAGGATTGGTGGTGTCGTGTAGTACAACGATATATAAGCAAGTGGGTTGGATTGAAATTGTGCAAGACTATATACATTCAATGAACAGTTATAATAAACTTGGATGAACAGCTTAATCCATTCAATTGGGGGGATTGGTTAGGTATAATTTATCCATGGTGACAAAAACAAAACGCTTAATCTATTTCTCCACCATATCTCTCCCATTCACGTGATCTTAAATTTTCATGCTTTATATCCAGGGTTAATTGTAATATTTTGTACATATAATATTTACAATACATATATAAAAAATAAAAAATTCTATATATGAGTTATCGTATAATTTTCTTTTATAGGAAACTGTTGTAATGTACTATTAAGATGATGAGGGTAAACAGGGAAAGGGTTTAAGGAACAGGGAGTGTAAGAGAAAGATGGTCCACTACACAGTGGTGTGCACGACGGTGTTAATAATGTTTCTCACCTGTGATCTTACCAACAGTCTATTTCAGGTCCCGCATTCACATTACATTGCTGATGACCACAACGCTGCCATGTGAATGACGTATGAACCATGGTATTGTACATTACACTGTTTCAAAATGAGTTTGGTAACTAGTACTAAGTTATGCCCATCAAGAGTCAACCAAATGCATCCATTGTGTAATATTTTAACCATTAGAGTCAAAGTCGGTATGTCTTCAAGATATTTTAATTCAACAAATATAATGTTTTCCTCCCAAAAAAGTAAATAAATAAAAGTAGGGAACAATTTATTTCGTAATTGACTACGACATGACTTTATTGATTACGGCTCTAATTTTCTAACGATATAAAGTTTAGAGGATTTTGTTAGATGATGGAAATCCTCTTGTTAGAAGGTGGTAATATGCAATAAGGATAGACTTTTCAACAGCATATGTGGTTTTGTAATGTATAACAGTTTTCTTCATCTTTCATTAAAATATTTTTTACTCCAATGTAGCTAAGAAAATTAACAAGCTTCCAATGGTCCACGTTCAGGGTCGTTTCCTCTGTTTATGTTTTTTGGTCAACGATCGTTTCAAAAATAATAATTACACATCAGAATATAAATAAGGCCTCATTTTCATCCATATCGCTTTGCTTTTTATTTGGATCAATTATTTAATTTGATCGCGTGATTTGAATTTTTAAACAAATTAAAAATAATTTTCCATTTTAAATTAATTTAAGTAAAAATTCAATTTTGAGTAATCCAGTCACTTTTGTAGGAGTGATATTTTCATATTTATCTACAATGTATGTTCTTTTTTATTTTATTTTTATTTTTTAAAAATTGCGACTAGTTCTTTGTTATGAGTAATTAATTTATTTTTCTAGGACTTAGATAAAGAACTAATATATTTATTTGATTATTTGATTTGTCATTCAATTTATAATAATTTTCCTGTAATTAATTAATACATTTAAGTTATATTTTCAACATGTGACTAATTCTTGAAGTCTGTGTGAGTTAAACAAAAGCGTTTAAGGTCTTTATAAATTAAATAAAATAGTTAAATTGAATAGTCCATGGTCTAGCAAATGATATAGGCATAATTTGAATAATCCATGTAACTCTAGATGAATAGCAGCATAATTTTCAGTAGTGATCACTAAGTATAAACACTCCATAAAATTTGATTTATTCTTATACCAAAAACGCTGATTAAGTGCACAATTAGTAGTGAATTTACGGCCAAGGGTTTGTCTTTGGTTGATTTTCCTTTTCCAAATTAACTTACGTAAAATATGATGTTCAATTAGCCCCGCTTCTCCTAATGGGAATGACAACACCCTTATATTTTCCTAATATTGCATTGGTCTTGTGTTCTTAGAAGTAAAGAATAATTTTATTAATTGAAAATTTTCTACAATCACATTTAAATACTCTATATTAAAAGGCAGTTGACAAAGTAAAGGAAGGACTAGATTTTGTTGAACAAGGCTGAACTAACCAGAAAGTAAAATCCCCAAAACTGACTTCCAAGATTGACCACAATTGCTTGATACTACATACAAAGATGATCTATTCAACTTACCTTAGTTGCCAAGTTTCCCAGTCCTTGATCCTCCAAAAAACAAGCTCACTATTTACTTTTCCTAACCATTTTAGACCGAGATGAAGATTCAGCAATATCTTGAGAAGTGTTTGAAGCTTCTGACAATTGCAATGCTTGCTTCAAGCTTTCCACTATCTGACTCATGGAGGGTCTATCTTCTGGATTCTTCTTCAAGCAGCTATCAGCCAATTTGGCTATTTTGCGAGCTGCAACAAGAGAATATTGGTTCCTCAGACGTGTGTCCATTATCATGCTGAATCTGCTACTGTCAGCAGGGTACTGTTTGACCCAATCTAATAGCTTTTGTTCTGGTGTTGGACGGTTTCTCTCCAATGATCTCCTTCCTGTGAGGATCTCATATAGTACAACACCAAAACTCCACATGTCACTCTGAACTTTGAGATGACCCGTTTCAATGTACTCTGGTGCAGCATATCCCTGTGTGCCAACTACCTGATAACAAAATAATATAGAGAATTCATTATAAGTAAACTCATTATTTCATAACTGCTATTATAGTTGTAAATGAATATATAGGATCATAGCAATGCTGCTTAGATAACAGCTTAAAGGGTTGGCCATGTTGAATCATGATTTGGCTTTAAAGCCGCTACATTTAAGTACTTACAAAAATGATAACAAGATTAATTAGCACTTGAGAATCCATATTTGCCATATACATACCGCAGTGGATACATGAGTCTGGTCACCTTGTGGTCCTTCTCTAGCAAGACCGAAATCTGAGAGCTTTGGGTGGAAATTCTCATCCAATAGAACGTTTGAGGATTTGAAATCTCGGTAGATCACCTTCCCAAAAAAACAAGGAAAAATGCACAATTAGCAATGAGAATCTTTAACAATCATTTGCATTATCGCTGTAAGCCTGCAATATCATTCTCACCATACCCAAGAAAACTATGCACATCCCAGTTTGTATATTTCGTTAGTTCTATCATGACAAACAAAATGTAGTAGAAACAATTTCAGCTTTGTGACCCAAAATAAAGCTTAATCAATTTTTAACAAACCATACCGTTATAAAGAATGGTCCAACTGAGAGAGCGAGAGTAATGAGAAACATGTGAATGTTGTTTATGAAGTTTCCATAGGAAAATGCAAAATAGAAAACCGTTTTGTTAATCCCAACCTTTGTGGCCGAGTTTAAGCAACAAATAATAATAATAATATTTTATTGAAAACAAAAGTTTTGTCACACTTTTATATCTGCAATATAATAAATACCTTCATTTAAAATAAAATCTTACTACTATTAATGTTTAAATTTAGCTCCAACTCTAAAGGCTGAGCATCCAAATCTGTGTGGATACCAGCAAAACCATCTCGGTACAAGGTTTCAGCACCATGCGAAGCATGTCCAAAAGTACACAAACCCCTTGGACTGCTACGGAAAACACCATCTGATTGAAGTTAACAAATTAAATAAAAAATGGCATGCACTTACGCTAAATGATGTGGCAACAATTTCAATTAAACCCATTGAAGAATGATCCTACGAGGTACCTGAATCTCAAGTCCCTCATGTAGATAAGCCAATCCTTGAGCAGCACCAAGCATGATCTCCAATCGTGTTTTCCAAGGCAGTGCAGGTAAACATCTATCAAAAAGGTGATGTTCCAAGCTCCTATTGGGCATATACTCATACACCAACAATCGTTGAATCCCTCTTTCTCCATCCACAGAGCAGTATCCCAAAAGCTTAACCAAATTTGGGTGATTAACAATGCCCAGAAATTGAACTTCCGCAAGCCATTCCTTATGACCCTTCACAAGACAACAAAAGAAAAATATAAGAATGCAGGTATATTTACAAAGTATAATACAAACATTTTGATAAGAAGAAAAAATAATAATCTGATTGACGATGATGATGTAATTAAGCATATATACCTGGAAGCCACGCGTGTTGAGTCTTTTGATAGCAACTAGAATTGGATCACCCTGTTGCTGAGGGGGTTTAATGGAACCTTTATACACACTTCCAAAACCACCTTCGCCAATTTTGAGCATTCTGTTGAAACCATTGGTGGCATCTCTAAGCTCTTCAAGAGTGAAATCTCTGAAGATGTTTTGTCTCTCTCTGTACAAGTCCTTGACGCTCTTGGGCGAAGAAACGGAACCGGTGGAGTTGGTGGGGCGGTTGAAGGCGGGGTTTTTCTTCTTGCTGTGCAATTCAGGAGCCGATTTGCACTTGTCTTTGAAGAAGAAGCACTTCATTTTGTGAACATGAATTAAAGGGTCGATGAGAAAAAAGGAAGTAGTGGAAAATTATATACGTGAGAAAAGAAAAGAAAAGAAGGAAAGAAGAGTCTTGGGGGAAATGAAAGAGAGAAAACAAATGGGAAAGGAGAAGATGGAGAAGTTGGTGTGGAAGATAATGAGAAGCGCGTGGAGAAGAGAAATAAGAAACCGGGTTTACGACGTTTGTTTGTAGACAAAGACCAACAAGACCTTTCAAAGGTTGCACTGCCAGCAAGCTGGATCGAATCAATTTTGTTTCTTTCACCCTGGTCCTCCTATTCTCTGTTCATTCACTTTGACCACATAAAATAAAATATACTCTGTTCATTGAGTAAATTTTTTTTTATTCTATAACCTGTTATTTTTACGTTGAAACAGAGTTACTCATGATTTCAATTTAAACATATACTAAATTGAATATAATTTTCTTCAGATACTAGTCTTTTCTTTTCGTTTTCAAACATTAATTCCCAATAATAATTCTATACTACACCGTGTCTGAATCTAAAATGAGAAGTATATATAAGTTAATTTACAAAAATAAATGGTAGTGGTAAATAGTGTTTTAACATTTTAAATGCATTGAATGAGCGACAATTTGTTGCGATCACAAGAATCAAGTGTTTATACAAATACAAGCTTAATGTGTTTTGTGGTGTTAAATTTGTTGCTAGTTAAAAATTGATTAAATGTTTTGAAAAACAATTAAAGTCAACCAATTAATAACACACAATAAAAATTCTGTTAATCTTAAACTCTTCCGACTTAGAAGCATCACATAGTTGTTGTGAAACTGAAAAAAAAAGTTATACTCTCCTAAATAATATTTTTTTAAAAATTTAAATATTTCTTTAAAAATATTATTAAATTTAAAATTGGGCTTAAAAATAATAATATTTATAAAATTGAGGACTTTTAAAAGCATGTCCCCATGCTAATTATTTCAGGAAAACTCAGCGGGTGCTTCCCTTTTGCCCTTGTTTAGTGGTCAATTTTCCTTGAATATTTCTAGTCACGACTCACAAGTCTCCACCACCTGTTGCACCCTAATCTGATATAAATTTCACTGCAATTTGCAGAGAACACGAGTCAATGTAAATTTTCCGCTACTAAAATTACCTTCTTGAATAAGTGTCCATTTAAAACAAACTGATATCAAATTTTATAATTAAGAAGCTAATCAATATAAAAAGATTTGAAATAACCAAAATGACGATATTTTTGTCTTTAAAGCATTAAAGGATTTCTCTCTGAAAAAGCATATAGCAAATTAGTAAAAGTGATATGGAATGTGAAAGTGCTTTCAAGTGCTCATGGCTGTCAAAAAGCTGCATTTAAATTACACATTTTACTCTTATTTAAATGATTTGTATTTAAAATATTTTACATAAAAATTTAAATAAAAATGGCAATAAACATTCCCAAAACAAAAATCAAACAATGGCACCCACTTGAATAATAATTAATTTTCTGTTTTCCACACATTAACTTTCTAAAGGGACTGTGGTGGACTAATGTGATCACAACGATATACACAACTTTTATACTTATTTTGTTGTTGTATTTATATGTTGGACGAGAAAATAAAAGAGAACATACATTAAAAACATGACTTTACCATGTGAAAAGTTATAAAATGATATAAAAAGGTGATTGCGAAAAATATTATGAAAATAACACTTCATGTCAATGAACACAACAGGGACGAATAATGCAGCCCGGCTGCCAACAAAAGACACAGATTTTTAGCTTTTTGTGATATCGAATTATTATTATTATAACTTAGCTGCATAATGCTATGACATGTGTAAGGGAGTAGATAATTTATATTAAGTATAGTCAAAGCATGTGTATCTTTTGGAATATATAATAATAGGCATCAGCATAACTCGTAAATTTTGGTTTTTAAATCATGATTAACTTTTGGAGTGACTTTTACCGACCAAGAGTACAAAATTATTGGTTCTTATTATTATTATTAATCAATGATAAAATCATCAACACAAAATGAAACGAAGATAAAAAGTTACGTGGTCATTGTTATAAGGTCTCCGGGTCAACTTTGCTTGTTCCACCTTCTTGCAATGCAGGAAGGGTAGAATGAAGCACATATTTAAAGGGGACATTCAAATTCAAATAACATAAAAAGGAAATAGTGATTATTCTAACCCGCAAGACAATGGTTCATAATTTCAAACTTACTTTAGGGGAAGTAGAAAAACACTCTCTGTTTCAGATCCCTCATTTCCACGCATGAATAGCTATCAGAAATATTGACTTGACCTTTTAGTCAATTAAATAAAATGAACAAACAATAGCCAATTCAATAAACTATTTACAGTTGTATAAAGTAATTTATCTTTTTTTTTAATTATTTTGAACTTATCTATCTAATTTGTTTGAATAATGTTTTTAAACTTGAATCTATTATTGAAATAATAATAATTATATACATATTAGGAAATATTATATGATGTATTATTATTAATTTAACTAAAAAAATGTAATGTTCAAAATTATATAAGAATTACTTTTAATTCATTCTTAATTAATATCAAGTGTAGAAATTCTCAAGTTTGAATAAACAGAAATTTTACTTATAAGTTTACTATATTTAAATTTGAAATAAGAGCGAATATTTCCTTCAAATTATTGAGAGCATGATGTTAATAATACAAACAGAATGTGATTATATTATATATATATATCTATATATATATATATATATATATATATATAATATACTGAAATATAGGATTTAAAAAAAAATACAAAACAGGAACAATTTTTTATACAGATGTAGATATTTAAAAATAAAAATTATAAAAAAATTTAAAGTATAAAATTTGTCATTAGTGATTTTCACTCAAAAATTACCATTTTTGTAATATTTTTCAAAATCTCATATTTTTTAGTATTTTAATTTTTTCGCATATAAAAATAAATAGCCACAGAATGCCAATTATAATCTTCTTAGTCTTCTAAAAATTCACATCCATGCTCTTAAAATAGTAATACCTGATTTTATATTGTTATTTTTTATTTAATTTTAAAAAATAAATTAGAAAGTAAAATATTAACTGTAAAAAAATAAATATTAAGATGCACCAAAAATGTACTTCAGTTACATTTAGGGAGAAGAGCAAGTGATGTGATTAGAGTCATACTATTTTTACAATAAAAAGAATAATTATTTTATTTTTATCAGATCACGTATTATATCATTGTTTTTCTTATTTTTTTAATTTTGAAGTGGTATAAAAAATTATACTGATAGCATTTGTCCTGCCATTTATGGTCAAAATGAGTCAGTTGAAGGCCATTGAAGCAAACAAAGAAATAGAGAAAAAGGAATTTAATTGACTAGGAATTAAAAGATGATGAAGAGTGGAGAAACATCATCATCACAAATGAGGGAAGGGAAGAAAAGAAAAGAAAAGAAAGACATTATTCGAATTGGAGAAGTCTATTCATTCTATTTTGTTGTATATTGAATTCACCCCCTCCATGGTTCCCATTAGTCATCATAATTTCAATGCAAGTTTGGAGGTTAGCCAGTAACATTATTTTGTTTACGTAAGTTCCAAATGTATCATTATTACCTCCAAAAATGTTAGCCTTTTTATTATAAATTATAAATCAAATTCTATGCAATAGGAGTATAGCTTTCAAACTAAATCGCACGGGCTAGTTGACCTATTAGATTGAGATTTGGTTACATTATTAGTTTGAATAATTTTTTTTAAAAGTAAAAAATTAGTTAAATTGATTATTGATTAACAATAAAGCAAAATCAATCAGAAATCAACATAAAATGGGTTGAAATTGAGGCTAAACTGATTTTATAAACTACTCTATTGTCTGTTAAGTTACACACATTTAAAAAATTACAACGCAAAAGCAAATATTCTAATAGTCAATAGCATTAGAAATAAGGTCGTAGTGAAACCAAAAACATATTTATTCCTAAGAATTTGATATGGCATATGAGATATGCCCAAATCCCAAAAGAATTAAGAATTTGCTTCACAGATGTTATTTAGTGCGAAAGCGCACAGTTGACCAAAAACAGAAGTATGAAAAAGCATATGGAAGGTTATGAATTGAAAGACCCATGGTAAGTTGGTAACCTTCACACTTGAAAGTCGTATACTAAAAAATTAGACGTGTTGAATATGCTTCTCCGTCTTAAATTTTCTTTTAAAAGAATAAATTCATTTTAAATCTTTTAATTTTAAACTTTTGTAGTTTAATTTTTTTAATTTAAATCATATAAATTACTTTTTACATTTTAATTTAAGCTTACATAGTGTATAGGAACAAATAATAATAATAATAATAATAATAATAAAAATAATTAAATAGCCGTAACAATCACAATTAACTTATAGTGATAATAATTACAATGAGATAGATATGAAAAAAGTAATAATATAAGATAATCATTATGTTTGGAGTTAAATAATTTTTTTAAGGATTATGAAAATTTTTATTTTTCTTTGAAATATAATTGTAAAGCTTTTAAAAAAAATTGAGAGTTTTAATTATATAAATTAAAAATTAAATAATATTTAGGAGAAAAATAGTAATATAAAAGTTCTAAACTTGAATATTGACTTTTTCTTAATAAGTTTGATAATATGAATATTATAAATATATTTTTTTTATAGGCAAAACATATATTATTAAATAGAATTTAAGAGGAACTCAAAACCCATATACATAGAAAAAAACTAATACTTATTCAGAAAAATAAAAAATAAAAATATACTTATAAATAACTAAAACGGATGCAATTTCGTGGGTTCAAATATTAATTAGCTAACAAAATAATTTTTTCCTTACTAATAAGTGATAGTCATCCAGACTTCAGAATAATAGAATTTAGAACTTTCTTCTCATATAAAACATCATTAGAAAACACAATTCTATTTCTATATAACCATAAAGACTATACTATACCTACCTAAACAATTAACAAACATATCTCTTCTCTTTTACTACAACAACATTAACTCAAAAAAGCAAGTGAATCGATAAATCTGAAGGCAAAATTAGTGAGAATCCAAGCCAACGTGCAATAAAGTACTAGATTTGAAATGAAATTAAGCACGTTAAAAATAAATGATTTGAAAGTTCTTTCAAGTCATGACAGAAGCAACAAGTTATATCATCAATTTAAACATCACGATCAATCAGCAAATATTTATAAGAAAGTGCATTCAACCACAATTGCCAAAAAAATATTAGACACTTAAGAGAGACTTTCCCTTTCCATAACTTTTGAGAGTTCTGTTTGAGGGTTCTTAGCCTATCCTTAATCGTTACCTTTTGGTCTAAAAATGGGACTTTTGTTTAAACTTAAGAATCAATATCTTAAAAAAATTGCTACTTTGGTTAAAAGTCTTAACCTCCTCTTAGAGCTATATAACCCAAAAAAAAAATATTATAATAAATTAGGACTTACTTAGGTTCAATACTAAAAATAGATCTTCATAACTCTTTCTTGTTAAGAGGTAAGTTTGTTAAGATATGTATAGAATTATATTTAAGAAAAAATTAATTCTTTCTTTTAAAGTTGTAAGTCATTAATTTAGAGTTGAATACCAAAGGATACATCTTATACTCTTTGCCTATGAGAAATATAAGTATAAACAAAAAAATTGTATTAACTTGGATAACAAAAGTTGATATATCTAGTGCTTCTCAACTATTTACCAGCATGGATAAGGGTTGGTTTCACAGGTTGGTCATGTTATGGAAGGGGTTCAGACAAATAATAAAGATTCTCCCTTATATTATGATCATAAATTATTTGACACCTCGATGTTGGTCAAGAGACCTCCTAAAAAAAGTTAAGTCATCCCAAATCTTTAAATTTCTTAAATTACAATAGTGAAAAGAGAGATACTTCTACGAGATCTAGAATTGACATTCTAGGTGAACTTGGGAATGGAACATTCACATGATACTAATTCTAATCCTAAAATTATGATTAATTCTCAAATTAAGAGTAACAAGAGAATTTAAGTTCAAAACTCCTAGAGTTTGTGTTAATTCATGTAAATCTGATGTTAAAAGTTTTATAGGATCTAAAAACAATAATTAATCAAAAAGGTAGAAAAATTCAAACCTAAACTCAAATTTGAGAAAAATGATAATGTTAAAAGTTATATTAGTCATGATATTACTCTGATCAAATACACCCCTAATAGGAAGGCTCATTTTAGATAACTATATGAATAAGAAATTTTACATATCATAAGTAGATTACACAAAGACTTAAATAAGAATTATAACGAAGAAGCTTTTGTCTAAGATTTACTTAGAATAAATTTAGATAGTAATTTACAGTTTCAAGTTATCAACAAAAAAAAAAGCTTATAAATAGGCCCCTAAACTCTAACCTAATCATAGGTATTAACAAATCAATAGATAAGGGTTTTAAAAAAAATAAATTATCTGGTCTGAAGAACCTTTATATAAGAATGTAATGTCTATGGACAATCAACATATTTAAGATATATCTTGTTTTGATTTAAAGTCTTTATGAATTGCTTTTTCTAAAATTGTAAGAGTATAGATAATAAGATCTTTTTTAAATAAATTAATGACCTGTTTATTATGTATAATATTAATTTCATTACTCTATTTAAATTTAGAGTTAGTAAAAAAAAAGGTTAAATCAATTATTAGAAAAATTAATTTAAATGAGTATACTAAAGTGGATGCCATTAGGTTTTTAGGAAGAATTTGATGTTTATAAAATATTTAATTCTTTCATAACTGATTATATTGTTTTTTATGTCCAAAAAAACATATCTAAATTTTGAGAAAAAAGAACTATTTTTGTATGAAATATTTTTATATCTAAAAAGATTAAAAATACCTAATTTGTAGATGTTGAATGGAAGAATCTTCTTGCATGACTGGAGTCAAACCTCCCTCTTGTAGATTCAGATTCATCTTCACTTTTTTCTTACTTTGTAATATAGAGGACTTTTGTTAACATCTTCTTCATTTTAGTTCATCCTATCTTTTCTTGAATCGTATATAATTTTTCTTGTCGACATAATGAATTACACTGTTAGCATAAACCTATATTATTTATGAAGATAATTTGATTTTTAAAATAAAGATATTAAAGGAAACAAACATAACGCTTATATTCATTTTATGTTAGTATATAGCAATTTTGTAATGAAAGAAAATTAAACGGATTTTGACTTATTTTCATTATAATTTGAATTTAATTGTGTTTGTTTTTATTTTGAATCAAATAAAACCAGTCCAGCCTAGAAAAATGGTTGATTCTGACACGAGTTGCTGGCATAATAATAATGCTCTTTACACAGTGAGATTTGCCTCACATTTCTTACATTTGTGGAGACAGCAGAAATCAAATATAACTGTTAAAAAGAAATTGGTATTAGATATAATTAGAAGTGAAAATGTATAAATGTAATAAAAAAAATTGAGTAAAAAAAGTGTAACTATCATCGATTTAACTCAAAATTATCACAATAATTAACTTACACTCTTATTTATTGACTTTTACAACAAATTCACTATGTTTTATAAAGGTGATGTATATAAGATATTATGTAAATAACAATTTTTTATGAGCTAAACGAGCTAACGCGACTATTCAAAGCTAAAATGATTCGAGTCAAAGAGCATGGTATCATTTGTTAGCTTAATTTATATTAATTTTGTAAAACTACTCAAGTTCTAAAGTATAGCCCTCTGTTTGGTTTAATGAAAAGAAATAGAGAAAAAGGAAAAAATTATAATTTAAGTTAAAAATAAAACAATTTTGTTAAAACATTTTATTTTCAAAAATTCATCTTTTTCTTTTTTAATATAAAAATTTCGCTAAAGTAATGCATGCATGGCAGGTGTGGGAGCTAAAAGAGTTGAGTTTTATCAGCGTTGCTTTTTCAATCATGATTTAATTGGATTGTTCTTTCGTGTATAATTTTTATCTGTAATTTTGATTTCTTTAATTTTAATTTTTGACATTTAATCTTTATATTTTCTTAACTATTAAAATTAAGCTACATCCCAAATTTGTATGTATTAACAAAGGAGAAAATATATAAAATATATGAATAAATTAAAAAAAATTAAGATTCCAAAGTCAACACTTTGAAGTTATTTTAATTTTTTTTTAATAATTAATATACTTTTCTTTGTTAATGTATACAAATCAAGGTCACCTAACAATTATTATGTTTTGCTAATTATTAGATAAACTTTAAAATAAAAAGACTTAACTTTAATAATTCAAAAATTATAAAAATTAAAGATACCATAATCGTTCATAAGATAACGTAGAAAGGCTATAAATATAAGTGCTTGATCATTAAAACAAGTATTCTTGCAAGCGCAAATTTTGTTCACTCAAATCAAGTGAAGTTGAAATACACAACGGGAAATTTGAATAAAAAGAAGTTATTAATCAGTAGAACAAAATAAGTCTATTCATAGGTCAACACAAAAATATATCCACAAAATAAGGGTTTAGAAATTAAAATTTACCCATTAAGGCCTGAATCCATGCAAGTTTGGGATAGGTCAGCTCGCAGCCCCTCATTGCTCATTTTTTTTTTTAATGAATATGCTTTTTTAAAACTAATATTTATTTTAAATTAAATTATTAATTTTTTTATTAAAATTTATTAACATAATCAATATTTAATTTTAGATTATAAAACAAGAAAGATCATTGCAATTAAAGATATAATTTTTTTTCGAAGAAGCTTAAATAATTGAAAGAGTAGTTGAAACGTTTGTTTTAAATATTCGAAACTACTTGGAATGTTTATTTTACTTTTACTTTTGTTGGAGAAGTGATTTGATTATACTTTTTGTTTAAATTTGCTGGGTAGATACTGATGTTTTAAATTTTAACGTCTTAAAGAAAATTATTACATTATAAAAAAAAGAAAATCATTAATATAACTTTTTATTTTTTTTTTAATAGATGTTAAAATATATTTAATTTTTAAAGTCGTAAAGCACACTTTCTACATGAACTCGTTACATACAAAAAATTAAAATTAGTTTATCATTTTAAATGTCTAAATTATTTTTTACTTTAACTTGACTTACTTAAACTTTGCTACCTAATACAAGCAGGGAGATAGCCCGAATTGAGAACTCTGTTAATCAGCCATGATTGATCAAAGGTGCTCTCTGCATAAATGAAAAATAGAATGTAGAATGCCTTTCAAATAAGACTTAATTTAGCGAGACTGCTGGCTATTGGCTAATTAGAGGTGAAGATGACAAGTTTATCGGTTCAAAAATCAATTGAGGAGACAAAAACAACTAATTTAACAGAACTTTAATATTCATTTTGTCTTCATATTTTTTGTCTTATGAATATTAATTAATTTTTATACATATAAATTAATCCTTATAAATTAACTTAAAAAAGAGAGAAAAAGACGAAGTGGTCCTGTACTGTGAAGGCGCGGTAACATTTAAGACAGATTATAATAAAAAGTTAAACATACATAAGACTTAAACGTAAATAAATCATATTATAAATTGATAATACATATTATACTAGGTAATTTTTAAGGACAGAAGGTACACAGTAAAAGCCACGTTATATTACAAGATGTCAGCAAGACAACAAACAATCTCGAGGACTCATTAGTTCGGCTTTTCCGATGATTCAATAGATGGAAGGTATATAGTAAAAAATTGTTCAGTTCATGAAAAAATCAAGCGAACATGCCTAGATCGATGTTCTATCATATGCTTCAGGTCAACCAATACGCCACACCCTTCCCACTATCATGTGATAACAAAATCAATCATTGACAACTCTGTTCCAAGCAACAGCTGCAGCCAATGTGATCACCATCAAACCAAAGAGCTTCAAAACAATTTGATGAACTCATAAACATGATCGTTTTAATTTTTTGTGTCCCCACTGCTCATTTGTCATGAGCTCTTCACCATGTTCATTTTTAATTCATCCACTGTGACTCCAAAGCAGTCTTCGATTATTATTGACTGGAGGAGCTAATCCTGGAATGTCGCGAATGTCTTTGTTGTTTGGGTGCACAATCTGAAAATTTGACAAGAAAGTTAGCATCGTAAGTCATAATCTGAGCACTGTCAGAATCTTTAATCAGTAAAAATAAGCAATTTGGGAAGCACATAGCAGTTCCACTGGGTAAAATGAAACCAAGATGGAGTTTACGAAAAAGAAAAATGGCATTTACAATTGTCAACTTCATCATAACTATGTTCGATTTGTAGATTTTCTTCACCATTTGTATACAGCCCCGACTCTACTTTGGATATGTTTTTTTAAAATTTATACAGTAATTAGTTACCATGTCAATTAAAGTGCTCCGTGACAAGTTTTTTTGGCACTGTCGTGGTGAAAACAATCTTTTTCAAACATATTGCCAATTTTCAATAATTTGTTATGATAATTTGGACACAAAAATGAACCTTGGCGTGAGAGATATCAACAAAATATAAACTAGAAGCTATAGATCTGTAGAAGCCCATCAAAAGCTGTCCAGTGAAGACTTGGAAATCGAGGTCATTTTCATGTTTAATCAGTAAATCAATAATTTATGCTCCATACGCAACATCAGTGCTTACACATATTGTAAAGCAATTTCTGCCATAACCATAAGTAAAAAAATCACTCGGCCCCGATAAATTGCCTAGAAAGATGGCAACCATAGAGGATAATAGTTCTGAATTGAACCATAAGAATCAAGAAGTAAACTTCTCTTACCTTCACAATAATGATAGCAACTACTCCCATGACAATAATGAAAAGTAATGCCATAATACATTTGTCAGTAGCAACCTGTTGCAAAAACGCCAGTAAGTTAATGAATGAATGATTCATATAGTAACTATTTTGCAATAAAATGATGTGGATTCTGTAGAAATTGACCTGCCTACCGATTTCCTTCACCAATTGAGATGCTTTCTTTAAAGAGAAATGGATTGAATCCAGCTCATTAACAATTCTGCTCATTTGTTCCGTCTAAATATGGAAGAGATTACAGCAATTAGTTCTCATGTTAAATTCAAGTTTTTATGTTCTCTTAATTCGTCTCAGTTAATTCTGGGTGTGTGACTATGCATAAGATTCATACCTGAGCCTTAAGAGCTGCTGCAGTCTCCGTACCAACATTTATTGTCTCTTGTACTACCTATTAATGCAGAGGGATTACAGCAATAAACTTTCTGTCAGCAAAGTTCCCCTTTTTACTCCCAGGAGGGCAGCAAAATTTAAATGTCCATAATCATCAAATTAAACATTATCCAGAACTTTTTATTTCTCCTTCACAACTTCCTCTGTCCTTCAAACTTCAAGGACAGAAGATAGAGTTAAATTGTGGCCTTAAGGTTAGTTATACATATAATGCACAATTTTTCTGCATTAAATCCAAAGAGGTGCATGGATAACTTCTTCAGTAACTGCTACATAGGGTCTAATATTAGAACATACCATGTCATAAAAACTTTACAGACATCTGAAAGACAGAATATTTGCTTCCTTTGAACATGAAAAAGGATGGAAATATCACCCCACCCCCCTACAAATACTTTTTCATCATTTCACTGATTTTGTGATTTTACAATACCCTGGAAACTGGGAATCTAGCAGAAAGGATGATAAAGAAATTGGGAATGACAAAAGTAAGATTAGGATGGCAGTGTTACAACTACAATAATGTTAATTTAAAACAGACTTTACAGATTTAGAATGCGTTCATAAATTTAATCAAGGAAGAACATGTAACAAAGATATTGTTGGAAGCAAAATGACAAGTAGGTGCCAGATAAACAAAAGAAAACAAACAAGAAATGGAGGACAGAAAAATAAGACCAAAAAGATGGTAACAATGACTTAGGGCCCCTGTCATGATGAAATATGTGTTATGTAGAACCAAGTCATTTCCCTCTGGGTCCCTAGGACTAGAAAAATAAAATAGCAGGCTACAAATAAATTTGTTGTATTCTTTATATTTTAAAAAAAGTTATGATCAAGAAACAAACCAACCTTCTTTCCCCTTTCAATGGCTTGATCTGTCTCATCCATCATCCGATTCCCATGATCCATTAGCTGTTGATTTGTCATTGCTGCAATACATCATAAACAGTCCACATTAACCACAATAGAAAACAACTTAATTCAGTTTGGTAATGCTATGAAATCCAGAACAGCTTGTTTTATTTTATTTTTTAAAAATTCTTTATCTGTTTGAGGTGGTTGACCAAAATATAGATGTGCTTTTACGCGACAGGGAAAGCAGAAAATATGCTATTAATATTTAAAAGAGAAGTATGATATTAGTGTTTCTCCAAGGAAGCAAAAGTAGAAGCGAAAATGTTTTTTAGACGAATTTATTTCTTTCTAACTATGCTTTCTATTGAAGCTTTAAAAAAGTCATTTCTCAAAAAAATGAAAATGATCAAAGCAGGGCCAGACAGCAACTTAGACTATGCAGCACACATGTTGATGAGCATATCAAAGCACACCAAGACCATCTCCCAAAATAAAATATTGCATAACCATGATAATTTTTTTCTCAGTTCTCCCTTTCACGGTAATGATTAAGGACTCTTTCTCTACACATAATGACCACATTTTCTGTCTATGCTTCCCCCTTCATTGCATTAGTATTTGCTAGAATTAGGCAACCACAAGTCATATAAATCAAGCATAACAAGAAGCAAAGGCCTAGCACAAGAAGTGACTGCAGAAAATGTGTTATGACTAATGATACAGGAATATTAGCTTAACATAACCGATATGAAGAATAGGTAGGCTTACAGGATGCCAGGAGGCCATTTTCTTCTGCATAACCTTCATTGGGCCCCTCAAAGAGTTCAATTCGTTTATTCTCAATATCTGTAGCATATCTGCATTTCAAATTTTCAATAAAACACATGCACTAATTGGTTGACACTATCAAGGAATACATCCACTCATGTAAGAATAGAATGACCTTCAATGACATTTTAAGGAAGCAGAAGCATATAATATGAGCAAATGAAATCTACGCCTGCCAAAAAGGCTAAGATCAACCACATAATATGATGTTTTAACTTACTGCTTTTTCAAAGCAACATATGAATTTAACTCTTTGATCTGCAACAAAAAACAGACAACACTCGTCAGTGACATTGATGAATATCATACCTAATGAAATCCAATAAACCTACGATATGACGAACTAGCAAAGTCAATGTATCAACGAAGAAAAGCATATCACATAGGTGTCCACAGCTTAACATCTCACCATTGACTGCTTTTTCTCATTCAACATTCTGTTGGTTTCTCTATCAAAGCTATTCTCCAAAACTTTGACCTCTTTATCGAACTCTTTAATAAGCCTGCAACAATAGATCCCACAATACACACACTTGAGTAAGCATAGAAAGTAAAACCTCAATTCCGAGGCGTGCTTCCAACACCGAACGGCGTTTTCACCGTTCAGGAAAATCAAGGTTATCAAGCTTTTGAACACAGATCAAAATTAAACAAGTTTCGGATTATTAATTTTCATCACAGATCTGGAAAACGTGACATATGTTGACTAGCCTACAAAACGAACAATTTACAATGTGACACAAAAATGCAATATCAATACGTCGATCATAAACAACAACAACCAAGCTTGCTCATAGTTCTACCAAAAAAATAAAAAGATGAAAGAATAAAAATGAGGAATGTGAAAGGCGAAAATTACCGTTTACAATCTCGCATTTTCTCGGTGAGCTCTTCCATCTGCCGGCTCTTTCTATTCGAATCCTTAATCTTCTCCAACTTCTGAAACCCATTTCTACAACAACAACAACAGCCGATGAGAAAACAACGTAGGAACATAGAAGGAAATGGGAAGGTTGAGATTCAGACGATAGGGCGCGGAAATTGTCGGCGATGTGTCCGTCGATCTCGGCCAGGTCCTCGCTGATCGCCGACAACTGATCCATGACGCGGCGAGATCTGATGCGAAGAGGATTATTTGGATAGAGTTTTTGATGAGGGAGGGGAATGCAGATTGCAGAAAAGATTTTGGGTTGCACCCAAACGGCGTGCTATAGCAGCATTTGGGATCCAACCTCAACCAAGGAAGGATGAAGGATCTTCAGTCTCGTTCGTTTACTTACGAGGAACAAAACAAAAAACTTTGTCCTTCTCCCTCGTGATTCGTGATTATTTTTTCACAGAAATTTTTTTTTTTTTTTTATTTTTTATTTTTGTTATAAACAAATATGGCCGTTTAATTTAAACCGCTATTAGGTTTAGGATTCCCGTGGTGGTTGGGTTCGTTTTGTTCTGTCGCTTCATTGCTGTTATAGATTTTGATCTTGTTTGAGACAGCCTGTGTAATCTAGTACGCTATTTTATGGCATCAAAATACCAATGTACATGGTCCAGTTTCTCTAAAATTAAAATTAATATTTTAACAATAATGTACTTAATATTAAGATATTTAATAAATTAACGTTACCTTGTATTGTTCATTAAAAAAAATTATCATCTACTGTTCAATTTTTTTAATATATGTATACTTATTTATTTTTAAAAAAATGTACCAATAAATTACAACATAAGTGCTTTAAATTATTTTGAAGACGATAATTTAAAAATAATATATAAAACATTAGGAGAAATAAGAAAGCTAGATTTGGACATTACGGGTGAGTTAATTCAAGCTGGACAATAAGTAAATATTTTTAAAAAAGAAATGAAAAGTTTAATTATTTTGTAAAAACAGTTTAAAAAATAATATTACAATGTTTTGCATTTAAAAATTATATGGATTTTAGGTTTAACCAAAATTTGACTAACTGCACAACCCAACCTCGAAGTTTTTTATAAATTATAACCCTTAGTGCTCTCACGTGTGCTTGGCACAGGACCTAATGGAAACCAAGTACCCAATTTAGATTTCAGATAGAGTTGATGGGGATTAGGTTAATCAAACAAACAAACACCCATGATAATAGAGAGTGAAAACACTCAAAACTTGGTCTTTCATTTCTGCATCAGAAAGTTTCAATCATTTTTCACATGTTGGTTCGTGGGGTACAGAGTATAGTTTTGCCCAGTGGTTGGTGCATTATTTTTTTTTTGCTAATCATCGGCGATGATCGAGCACAACGTGAAAGCGTGTTTTTGTCTCAGAATAAATTAAATAGATATAAAATTAAACAATTACGTATATATGTCTATTAGGCCTCATTTTAAATGGTGTAAAAAATACCCAAATTATAAACAAATTAGCAGCCATCCCATACATTACTAGGATATTTTCTTAATTTAAATAAAATGTTAAACATAAAAGAAAACGTGCATGATTGATTTAAATAGATAGTTTAAATTTAGAGAAAAAAATTAAAACTGAAATTAGAAGAAAAAATTATAATAAAATATTTTAAAAATAATTAAAAATTTAAAAAATAAATAATAATGAAGGCAGTTTTACTAAGAAAAAAAAAAGAAAACAATAAGAAAATTACAATATTAAAAAATAAAGATTTAAATTTGTGATACAAAAATGACTAATTAATTGAAAATTAGAATAAAAATTACTACAAAATTTATTGAATAATAAAAGTATCAAAAGATGCATCGTTGCCCACTTAATAAAACCATGATTTTACTACTTAATACACAATATTGCTGAAATTACTGCAAGTTGGCAATTACTAAGACCCAACTTTTTTCCCCTTAAAGAAAAACAAATCAACATCATTACAACAGCTTTTTTAAGAAAACGGAAAAATAAACTTATGATAAAATAAATAAATTATTCACGTGTCATATGCACTTCTCAATATTATACTCTAAATAAATCATTTGCTCCCTAAATTCAATTAGCTGAACTTCAACTTCTCAATCTGCCTGGCTTAAAAGTAGATCCATGTTAAAGACAACATCAAGCATGCCAGAAAATTCAATGACCCATCATAAGAAACCCAATGGGGAGATCCTGATTTCTCTGGCCCAACATTTGCAATTGTTGGACTAGGCGCTGTCGATGTAGAAGGAGGAGGAGGAGGAGGAGGAGGAGCTAAAGGAAAAGGAGATGGAATTGGAGGTGAGGCCTTACAAGAAGGTTCTGTGCTGTTACATGGAGGTGAAGGAACACTATAGTTAGCTTCTGATGCACACGTTTCTGACAATACCCCATCTATGCCATGACATCGAATTGAAGATCCAGCTACACATATATTTGGGCTTATAATTTTCACATTGTTGAGAACATAATTCTTCCTACCATTGTTGGTGATTCTCAGCATGCAATTTGGCAGTGAACTAGGAACAGTTGTGCCAGTGGGAAATTGTTGCAGGACATCAAAGAGCAAAGGTGATGGGATTGAATGTCTGAGCAAGAAATTAGAAATGGATCCCTCTTGCAACCCTATGTTAGCTAGTATTCTATCATTGGGCATCAAGAAAGTCACATTCCCCTCAAGTCCTGGGTCAAGTGGTGACATATTGATGAGCATTACAAATGTGAAGTAATTTGCCCTTTGCATCTCCCTAGTGGCTGCAACGATGTCTTCATTCCTTGAATTAATGTCTGATGGGGTGATTAATGAAATCAACATCAATAAGAGGAAAATTTCTAAGAACGTGTTGCTTCCCATATTCGATGATGTTTTCTTCAAGTTGCTTGATTTCTCTTCTCTTTTCAATAAGTTGGTTTTATCATGAAAATGGCATTTTAGATTTTGAGAATTGAATGACAAATAGGGTAAATTTTTTGTGTGCTCATGAAAAGGTGCTGCTTCACCAACTAAGCCTCACACACTTCCTGGATGATTGGGAGCTTGATCGAGTAGCGATTGTAATGATAAATCTCAACTGAGCTGCCACAAAACTTTGGGTAATTAAAATAGCATTAGATTAATTATTCTGGCATTTATTATTTAATTGAATACAGCGGCAAAGCACCATCATAATTATTCGGCTTAACCTTAGGTTCCATCTTATAACACAAGCAAGAGTACCATGCTAAAAAATACGCCAATAAATATGGCCATGTTTTAGTTATAGAACGGAAAATAAAATTGAGAGTGAAAAAAATACAAAAGACAAAACTTGCACTGTTTTATAGATATTGTTCGTGTTTTTATCAATTAAAATTAAAATTTCATTTAAATAAAATATTTACGTTATCATAAATTATTTAAGCCGTTTTGTTCACGTGTAAATCAACTTTTACTCAGAAGTTAGTAGTCTTCAGGGAATTTTGATCTCCCCTGTTTTTACATCATAAATAGATACTTACAAAGCAAGTTTTTGAAGAAAAAAAGTTATAGCATGATTCATACCACAAGATCATCATACACAGGTGTTTAATTATAAATATGAAGGTACCTAATATACGGGTAGATCAAGTCAATTTGATGACAAACTTATTATTAATAGTTATTTCGCCAGAAATTTATTAAAATATGTTGGTTTTTATATAGAATTTGAACTTGAAATTACAATTATATCCAAAATGCTTTAGACAGTGGCCTTGTGCATTTCTTAATTATATTTCCTTCCCCCATTTTTATTAATGTAAGACATTTTTTAAAAAAAATATACATTAAAAAAATTTGTATTTTTAAGTTTTTTAGAATATAATGGCTTTTCTTTATGTTCTTTGAGTTTGTAATGGGGTTGCAGACACGTTAATTAGTCATATGTGGGATGTTCAATAAAGGATCCGAGACTTAATAACTTCATTAGTTCAAAATCGTGTGTTACATATACTATACACTAGGATGCACCGGTTTATTTATTTATTTGCTAAATTAATTTATTTTAAAACAAATAAAAAATATAATTTAATATAAAAATATATAATATTAATTTTTATTGTATTAAATATTATTAAATATAATTACATTTAAAAAGATCATGAATATTATTTTATAAATAATATTTTTTATATTCCTTAACAACAATAATTTGTATTTCTTTTGTTGAATTATGTAACATACAACTTATCATAACTAGATACAAAATTTCATAAATATAATATGATTTATATTAATTAAACTTAATTTAAATTTAAAATATTATAATTCATTTACTTATTTATTCATCATGATATCAAAATATTAAAAATGCAAGTTAAAATATTATTATAAAATTTTAATAATAAATAACATTCAATTGTTTTATAAATATATTATTATTAAAATAATATTTTATATTTTTTTTAAATTTATAGACTCAAATACATGGTAAAGAATTACATTATCATAATAATCTAATTTTTTTAATAACATGTATAATATATTGCAACATTAAATAACTATTTTTAAATACAACAATTTTGTTTTTATTTGTTGACATTAAAAAATTTTTATGATGTATATTTTTATTTTCCTTAATGTACTCTTAAATCTTAGAGCAATACTTTTTTTATATGCAAAAACGTGTATAATTGTTCTAGAAAAGAAAAAAAAATCAATTAAAATAATTAAAAATAGATTTAATTAATATTTTGATCCTTTGACTCGAATTTGTAAGTTAGTATTCTCGATTTAATTTTTGCCGTTAAGTTTAAAGTAAATAATGTTAAATAAGTAAAAAATTAAATTGAAATAAATGTATATATGAGGACTAGTTTATAAATTTTTTACATATAGGGACTAACTTGTAAATTTAAATCAATTATAGAGACAACTAAATAAAATGATCTCATTTTTCTTTCCTAACTTTTATGCTTTTCCACCTCTCAATCCCAATCTTTCCAATATTTAATGGAGGTCAAAATTTAATACTCTCTTGGCCTTCCTTTTCAAAATTCAACCAACTCTCATCAAATTTCCTTCTCTTCTCAACTACTTCACCACTCTTACCTTCACTCACACCATCTCCTTTGCCTTTGCCTCCACCTACAATTCTACTCTCTTCATTCTTCTTCTTCCTTTGCATAAACTAATGCTTTAGAAGAAGCTTGTACAACTTGGGAAAGGGTTTTGATTGATAGAAAAGAAGAATCCACTTCAATTGATATGCCCTTAGGCATGGCTATACATAACATAGAAATCACACTTGGAAAGAGTGGACAATTAGCTAGAACAACAAGTACTATAGCGAAACTGATTGCAAAAGAGGAAAAATTGGCCACATTAAAATTACCTTCTAAGAGGTCTATTTGATATCCAAAAACTACTCAGTAATTAGACAAGTGGAAAATGTTAGGGTAAAGCAAAAAATTTTGGGTAGAGCGAATTTAATAAAGGTCAAAGTCTTTTCCTCTCTTAAATTCTTATCCCCAAAACTCAATAATCTTCACTTAATTCTCTTTTCTTCTCAACCACTTCACCACTTTCACCCTTACCATTACTGTCACCCACCCTAAACCTCAACTCTTTTTGTCCTTGAATAGGCCCCATAGGTGTTGCCAAAAACATAAATACCTTAAACTCAAATTTGTAAGTTAGTCTGTATATGTAAAAAATTTGTGTTCCTACTAGGGATACACTAATCTTCAAGATGCTCTTCTACTGTGGGATAAGGTAACATCATTTTCTGTATTGCTAATTTTCTCTCTATCTGACGTAAGGACAGTGTACCTGCAAAAAGTACTTCGATTATAAAGTCAGGTGTCGGTTTAAGTAATAAATGCTATTTAATATTCAAAAGCAAACCCTTTACTTGTACCTCTTACCTTCCTTTATAGGCATTTTTTATAGGCTAATGGGCTTTGTAAATCAACCTTGATTTTGGCCCTTCAATTAAGTAAATAATGTTTTAATTACTTATCCCTAATTTTAATTATTCTTTAATCTGACCGACAGGGTATTCATCTTGTTGAGGCCGAAGGGGTATTCGAATTCCTTTTTTTATCTTTAAGACCGAATAATGTTCTATCCAGTACACTAGCCCCCAAGCCTGAAAATGTACGACTGAAGGGCTTATTAAATCCCGTTGTCAGTTCTTTTGTTGGTGATGCATTTTTCTGCATGTAGGTAATGGTGTAGAGGCTACTACTTCCATATTCAGTTTTGAGTATTATTCCGAGTAGGTACTCGGAATCCTTTTACTGATGTTGAGGCCGAATACATGTTTGGCTTAACCTTTTGGATTTGTCAGAACTCAAGGTTTTGGCAAATTAGGGTTTCAATTTTTTAGGGTTTCTTCTCGGGATTCATGCTTCTTGAAACAAAAGGTCAGTTAATCATATCCACCTATCTTGAAAAAGATCTAACGGTTGAAACGGAGTGTGACGCTTCATCTACCCGAAACCTTGTGATCTATAAATACGTGGTAGACCATGCTTCATCTTACGCTTTCTGTTCTAAACCAAGGTGTATACTATTGTTATCTTGTTAGAAGCTTTTTCTTTTCTTCCGACACCTTAAGGTACACATTGTTTCTTTTTTTACCCTTCTTTTTTCCTGTTATACTCATGGCATATTCATTTGAGTGGGAGGATTCATTGTCAGATCATGCGAGACTGACTACTGTTGTTGGGGTTGGGGACCTCGGGAGTACCGAAAGGTTTGAGGAGGTTTCTTCAAGGCCGAATACTGCTCGAGATAGGCCTGAGACAACTATTAGGGAATGTGACGACAATGCTGAATCATCAAATGTTGTTACTGATAATACCAAGTGTAGTGAGTCTTTACCGAACACTAGCCCCCCAAGACAAAGACCAATCTTTCCCCCTGTTTGATTCCTAGATACGAGTAGATTCACGGTGAAGTGGCCACCTACTTCTCACGTTTCCAGAAAAATAAAAAATTTCAATCTTTTATAGACCATTGTGATATATCACTATGGGAGGCTTCAAATCCTTATCCTATAACCATAAACGTTTGCTGAGGGGATGGATCTGGTAATCCCAATCTAGTATTTTTAGGAGATGGTGTTGAAATGGTTGACACCTTCTTTGTATATGAATATATGTTTAAGGACTTAGGTATTAGACTTCCTTTTGACAACTTTCAGATGAGTGTGTTGAGGGTTTTGAATGTCGCGTTAACACAACTTCATCTGAATGGGTGGGCGGCTATGCAGGCATTCAGAATTTTGTGTAAATTTCATTATATAGAGCTTAGTATATGTTTGTTTCTTCATTTTTTTTGTACCCGTCCTTCAGATAAAGCAAGATGGGTATTTGTATTAAGGCAAGTTGAACTGCCTCTGTTTAAACCTTATACTTCCTTTTTTAAAGGTTTCAAAACCGGGTACATTAAAGTAACCGTCCACCCTATAGGTAGAAAATATTTTTTTAATAGTGAAAATAAACCTTTGTTCCCTTTTCATTAGACTCGTGTATCGCAGAGATATGATGTGTATCGCGAAGGGATGTTGTCCTTGGAAGAACAATCAGCTCTGGAGTATTTGAAATCTCTTTATCGGGAACTACCAGCCCGAGCCCTTATTCTTTGGCTGAAGTCCCCCAAACCTCGCTTAGATATGGACAGTATGCATTATTACCCTAGTTTATACTTTGGATATAGAGTTATATTGATTTGACTTTCTTGTTTTTATTGCAGACATTATGACACAAAGAGGATTCGGTTTAAGCTACCGAAAAGGTTTGAGGTAGAGAGCTCCGAAAGGGACTTCACTTGATGAACACTGAAACTCTGTCTTGAACCAAATTTCACATTTGGCTTAAGACCGCCAACCT